CGGAGAAAAAGAATACTAAGATTTATTGGGAAATGGATTTTAAAACCCTCAAATGCTCTGAAAGATGTTTATTATACTGGACTAGAAGATATAAATTTTTGTTTCAAAACATTATTACCTGTTTCTTTACATTATTTTGATTATTAATGAAATATATATCGGAAGGGTTCCTGTGAAAATTAAAAAATTCACCTGAAGTTGCTTAAAATGTACTTCTAATTTATTGTCCCGCCTCGACTATTTGGATTGTTTCAAACTTTTAATTTAGATCAAGTAAATGTCTCCACTGCTCTTGACATTTAATACGCAATATGCTGAAATAACTAAGAAACACTAACTGACATAATCTTTGATAAGATATTGACCGTGTTTCACATACTTTATGCTATGATCTAATTGAGAGCTGGAATAAACTATTATTTTTATTTATTTACTTATATTATCGATGCTTATTCATTATCAACAATGTGAGAGTATATAACTATGTATTGATATATTTGTAATTCTTTGTTATTATACTCTGGATCAGATTGGTTGATCTCTGTTGGCATATGAGCTCCTATGAGAATGCCTCGATCTTGCCTGAATATTTATTAATCACGACCAAATAAATTGCCGTGATAAATATTCAAGCGGTATCACGAAATCCGCATAGGAGCCCACATGCCAACAGAAGTCGAACAATCCAATCCAGTATAACAACGGAGAATTACAAGAATATCAACATATAGTTATAACTAATACCCATTTTACAAGGGGTGGCTGTCGTACCTCAGTGGCCTAGTGAATAACCCTCTGGCGTTTAAAGCGATGAGTACCAGGTTCCAATCTCAGTGGGAACAGCACCACTCGCTGACTGATGTGCAGTTACACCCAGCTGACGAGTCCTAAGTAGAATGAAACGTGCGTTCTGGATCCATCTGCTAGCCATAACGAAGTAAATTACCATAGTATGATAGTGTTTTTAGAATTGTGACAACAATATCATGTTTACATGACATGACTGAGTCAGGTGGGAATAAAATGTATACCTATTTCTTGAAAGTTAAGACACAATCTGTATAGGTCTTAGATCATATGTATATACAATACTTCTTCACTTGAAGCTGTAAAAGCCTTTACTACTGCATGACTGAATTGCGATTTGTATGGAAGGAAAGCCATAGAAAGCTAAGGATTCGATAAATAGTAAGTCTGCATGCCGTAGAGCAGCCTTAAAGTTGGGAAATATAAGAGAATTTATGCCTCACCAACAGAACCGTATTTGTGAGTTTCAAACTTACGTTAAAATAGAGTGCAACTGAGCATAATATTTGAGAATAATTAGCGCAAGCGAAAATCTTGGACACTGTTGTAAAGTATAATTCCATATTAGATTGTTTATTCGATTGATATAGGATACAGTGACAAAGTATAATTTTCTGGATGATGTTTCGAGCAGAATTTATTGCTCATATTCATATCAAACTAATCATATTTGCAATGTGTGATGAATCATTCCTCTTACATGCATTAAGTCCTGGCAGATTCAATTGACAGCAATTCTGTGATCAATCTCTCCCTCTTTCTAGCTTAATTGGATTTTAGAATTGTCACACTATCCCACCCACCGTACAGCGTGATCATAGGCCAGTGCGTACACAGCGATAATTGAGTTTGCCTCTAAATTGCTTATCTTACTAGGGTTTATCATTCTATGTTTGGCTAAACTTTTGTGGTTCGCTATTCTGATTGACCCTAATCGGCTGCTTTGACCTAAATAATTGACCTCGCGACTATTATATGGTATTTGGTAGATTGGGTTATTTTTCTTAATTGGCTGTATTGGATCCTTTAGAATACAAAGTTTCTCTCTCAACTAGTTTGTGGGTTTGAATGCCACCCTAATCCCAGCATTGGTAAGAATTCTACATAGACTTTCCGATGTGCCTTCTTTATGTGACAATACTACAGAGGATTTGAATCCCCCCTTAGGCATGTTGCTGCAATCACCACTAACACTGTTACCCCTTCTCTTATCAGTCTTTATAAACCATTTTATCAATTCTGGTGGGTAGTTATTAAGAATTAGTGTTTCTTTGATACCTTTCTTTAACTTATTTAAGTTTTCTGACTTACTACTCAAACTCCTAGCCTGATTACCTAAATGTTTTATCAACCCTACTTTAACAGATATAGGATGAGATGACATGAAACCCAAGTATTTATTCAAATGTGTTCGTTCCCCATAAACACTGGCGTCTAGGCTTCCATATTCTTTCTTCTTGATCTCGTAATCAAACGTAGGCAATTTACCTTCTCCATTTTCTAATTTATAAGAGAATTGGATTGCATCTAATATCGAGTTAATGTGTGTGAAAAACTCTGCACGTGCTCTGATTTTAACACAGTAAATGTGTCATCTACATATCGCCACCATACTTTTGGAGTGGATTGGAATGTTTTTAATGTTATCTGATCCCAACTGTCCATGAATATGTCTGTTATAATGGGGAATAATGAAGATCTCATCTCTACTCTTTTGTCTGTCTATATATTTTGTCTTGAAGTTTAGAAACTGTAGAAATTAAACATATTTTATCCCTAGCATGAGTTCTTTAATGGAAACTTTAGTTCTATTGCTGAGTTCATGGCCAGATGTGAGTTTATTTCTGATTGCCTAAAGTGCCATATTAATTGGTATATTCATATACAGGCTCGTCACATCAAAACCGACCATCTTTTCTTCTGCCTCTAATTGTATATTATTTAGTCTGTGTTTCGATTCAAATGAATCGGTGAGCCTAGACTTTGAGTAATTTCTAATAGGATGTAGTATTGTAGCTAAATATTTAGATAACTCATATGTTGGTGTGTCTCTAAAGTTAACTATTGGCCTAATAGGATGTCCCGTTTCACAGACCATATATTCTACTAGCACCATTATTTTTAGTCATTAAATAAAACCACTGAGATTCACCCAGAGATGACTCTATTATCTATATTAGATCAGCTGTGGACTTTTTAATCTTATTCATAACTATGTTTGCAGGCATTCCGGTTTCCTCATATGGTCCTGTTTCAATACGCTCATCGAATTTTTTTTCAATTAATCCGCCTTATCCATAACTGCTGTCAGGTTGGCTTTGTTATATTTCGCATTTACTATACTACTTTCATTACTTAAATTTCTCAGAGTCAATGTTTCTGGTCTCCTTAGGTTCTTACTGTCTATCTTTTGGTGTTTTGGTGTCAGTGTATACTGTGTACGTATTTGATCAGCAGTTGTCTTATCTAATGAGCTTAATGCTACTTCTATGCTGGTATAACATCTGGTTTGAGTTGACCTACTGTTCCATTTAAGTTTAGTCATTTCTAGAGAATTTTCACTTCCGTTGAGCTTAATTCTCAAGTTCAGAGGTTGATCACGCAATTTGTTCGATTGATGGTTGGCGGTGTTTCATTTTTAGTTTCATTCTTCTTCGTGAGGGATTTATCTTCCATCAGTTTGCTGAACCTTTTCATTTGAGTCCTTCTGGATTTGCTGACAGTAGTTACTTTCACTTTATTGGGTGCTTCAAGCAGAATTTCATAGTCTTTTTGGCTTGTCCTCTTCATTAGTTTGCATTTCAGTCGTTCGATTTAATTGCGGATTCCGGTTAATTTCTTGATAATCCTGTGGAGTTCTTCTCTTAGACATAATTTACTGACTTCTTCAATTACTCTTCTCACCCTGTTTGTTGGAATTGGAGTCCGCAGACGAAAATTTTTAAGAGTAATTTTGATTTAATTTATTGAGCGTTTAAAAAAATACCGCGGTTTGTGCATCCCACTTCTCTTTATGAAAGTCTTATGAGTTTATTGACTAGTCGTCGAACAGGAAGGCCATAAGTTTCATTAATGTGAGGGAAAACTTGGACACTGAAGTAGAGTATAATTCCATATTAGATTGTTCATCTGATGTAGCATACAGCGACTGTATAATCTACTGGCTGATGTTTAGAGCAGAATTTGCTCATATTCAGATCATATGAACGAATATGAATATGTGCAAATTCTTCTTTAAACATCAGCCAGTAAATTATACTGTCACTGTGTGCTATATCAAGTAAACAATCTAGTATGAAACTTGGAAATAGTACTTTCAAAATCGGTTGCTAGTAATGGAATTAGCCTGCAGCAGCCTAAGCGGAAGAAAAATTATATCTCATGGTTCATCAATCGGTGTTAGAAATACTTGGACTTCTACTAAACTATTTCTACGTATATTTAACTGCTACTCATAAACATTTGAGTAGTTGAGTTTTTTGTGGACATGTAAATGCTACAGAGAAAATTAGCAAATTGGAATTAAAATGTCGCAGAAACGCTTTTGAATCAGTAATATGTTAAAGGTAATTCCATTTCCCAGAATGAAAGCAACTACGCTGGAGTGTATTACTGTATAGTAAAGCTGCTGGTGGTAATTTTTGAAAATATTTATCAACAAATATGTGATCATCTTTTCAAAGGTCTCCTAGAGTTGCAAACATGACATAAATTAGCGTATGGTAGGCAGTAAAATATTATCATTAGTCAACCACTACGCATACGAAGTACAATGTTCAGCTGCTAAGCTGATCTGGTTCATGCATATATATTTTGCCAAGTCTTTGACGTGATTCAGTGTAGTGTTACTTATGTATTTCGTGGTGAGCGATTTCTGTCTAAACTATGAGCACTGCAAAGTATCGGATAAGAAAATCATATTCCGTGAGTCTTTTTCCATCTTGGCGTCTTATAGCTTTGGCTATTGTAGTTTTCACTTCTTTTTCCCTCCCCTTGCAAACCTACTCCCTGATATAGAGTGTGACAACTTGGATTTTCATGGAGTGATATCAAGCTATGTGTTGTTTATGTCTACCTTATTAGAACTTGAAATTCGCTTGATTAAATAAGGTCATTCAACAGTTATACAAATTTTAAGTCTTCAGGATATATGCATATCATGCAAATTTTAATTTCAACTGTCACTTATATAGGACTGGTTCAACAGGTGCGTGAAACACTGAAAAACGAACTAGAATCCTTATTAAACTGGCTGGAACCTATAAAATCAGAAGATACAATGTTGAAGCGAAATCTTACTCTTCGTCGATCCCCAAGGCTTATAGAAAGACAGAAAATCAAATCTCCAGAGGTAAACTTCATGTTAAATAATTTACTGAAACACTCAAATTATGATAGCTTTTCCACGCAATTCAGTAGTGTTCAATCAAAATAAGAACAAATTTTTATAGAAAGCCTATCCAAAATCATATTAGATTCAATCATATTTAACACTCAGATCATTTTAAAACATAACTTGGCCAAAAACAGTTCTACACTGGTGGAAACAAATTGAAATTAACCTAGAGAACCTTATAATTCTATTTTTAACTCTTTATAATTGCCATAGCATTCATTCAGTCATTTGGAAAAACACTTACAAGAGTACTTTTTACTGAGTTATTGATGAATGTAATGAACCTTAGCATATTGGTGAGTTTTTCCAATTTCTGGGAAACTATATATTCTGACAATCCCCCCAGCAACTACTTTTTGAATCACGGCTATCACGGATAAAAGTTTTTCTTTATATACACTAACATCTAGTATCAAAAAAGGTGAATACCTGAATCAGGCCACTCAGCTAAGTAGCTTCATTGTAACTTCAATCAGTAGTCAAACTTGTATCACTCACTTTGATATACATAACTTATCACTAGTGACAGGTGGACAACGCTTTTATCTTTTCACCGGCGGGAGTTTTCATCAAGTGGTTAACTATTAAGTAAGAACGATCAGACAATCTCAAGTCTTATTGAAATTTACGCCTTTTCCACTTAAACTCCTTTATCAAGTAAAGTCAGTCTGAATGAGTTGAAATGACCTTCTTCGCAAACGTTTCATTCAGACATCTCCTGCTGTTTTCGAAAGTAATCTGTTGAAATGAACGTAATAAGATAATGTATGAAAATAATTGCTTTATTCTTTCAGACTTCTTTCAAAATTCCTGAGAAACTTTCACCTACATCACTTTCGGAACTGACTGAAATTTCTAACTTTCTGCAGGAAGATGGTTGTAAAAAAAAAGAGGATAACTTTAATGAGTATAATAATTTAAATGCATTCATGCAGAAGATGGAGAATGACTTTGATTACCTGACGAATGAATTCAAACTTTTACAAAAAAGGTAAGTTCTGTATGGAATATATAAATTATTGTATAGTCATGTACTTTTGATCATAACCTATAACAGACGTCGTCAGTTGGTTTTCATTGAACGTCAATAGGTAATAGTTTAAAGAACAAAACGTTAGGTTAATACTGCTGTGGTGTTAACTGATTTTGAGTATGCAAACATGATATCTTGAGGGGTGTTTCAACTTCTAGATGAATTTAAGAAAATTTATTACACCCTTTTGATGAATAACTGAGACTACTTCGTTGTGTATCAAGGGACTGGATCCTTAAGACTAAACGATTAACGTCAGTGGTAGAAAATACCTTAGTATTTGCAAGGTAAGCTTCTTCATTTACTTTTGTATAAAGCACAGTGGATAGGAAGTCAGTGAGTGGAATATTCATTCTACTTACTCACGACAGTACAAAGAAGAACTTTTTAATGGTGTTGTAGAGTGTGATAATGCATTCGGATGTGTACAGTTATTTGACTGCTGATATGATAAATAGTATTTGTTGCTGAAATGATTAAGTAGTACACTAGAGTAGAACGTAGAATACAATCAAGTGAATATGTGTAGCCAAGTCCCAATTCATTTGGAAGTTCATGATCAGGACTTTAGAAGTGCTGAAACATACTAACATTATCACAATAACACATCTGTTCCACACTTGCTACATAAACTTCATTTCGAGAAACATTACACATTATTTACACAATGATCAAAAGCTTTAGGTATCATATCTCAACTAAAATGAATGAATTTTTCTGATGAAATTTACTTCATTATACTTATACCCATCTGTAGATCGATTTCTGACCTCGAATGTGTAAACCATATTCATCACGTTATCATATATGCGTATTCAGCTTCAAAGTGAATTCCAAACAGATATCTTTATAGGAATATAAATTAAACTGATAGTATCTTAGAGATTAGTAAATTATCTTCTCTTTCAATTGAAAAAATGTAATGCTGTATGCTTACCACATCTGTAAGTTGTAATAAAGCCCTAAACATCCTGTTTAAAATGAAGAGTAAATAGATCAACTAGTTCCCTCATGATTTCATAACAAAACATTATAACGGTTGTAGGTTTAGGAGTCTATATAGTTTATATGAATAGTCTAAAAAAATAACAATCGGAAAATATGAATGCGTAGAATCATCTCCATTTCGGTGCAAAAACTATTGTTTACTTTTCAGTCTACCTCTTTATTAGAATAGAGTATATAGCGCTAGTTAATGAGTCAGTCATTCTTCTTGACTGTAAACTACTCCTAACATTATCCACTTCTGATATCTTGAGAGGAACATATTTATGTGATTTGTTTTAAAGTTTTTTCCTGCAACAATCAAGTGGGGTTTCTCTAAAATTCTAAGAAAATTTACGTTAATTAAATGAAAGAATAGAAAGACAGTTAAAAGAACCAAGCTACTCTTTCTTTTCTAAATAACCCAGTTTCCACTGCTAGCCACTGCTTATCATTACCTTACATAGTTGAAAGACAGGCAATATCGAGGCATCCGCGTAGGAGCCCATATGCCAACAGAGACTGATCAACTCGGTCCAATCAACGACGGTGTAATACAAGCAATAACACTAAACTTATTTAAATTGAGAACCTTAACATAATCAATAAAAGCAAACTGTGAAAACGTTAGTTTTTCCGCATTATTGTCATATATGCTGAACTAATAGCCGAAGGCAACATACTTCTAATTAACACCAAATTATTTATCCTCAACTTCTGGGTTTCTCCATGCATCAAAACAAAAGATAAGAACTACGCAAGTTTTAATGAAGATGAGAAAAACGATGACTTTCAGATTGTAGTGAAACACGTAAACATTAAAAGAAGGAACAATTTTAACACTAAAGGGGAAGTTGAGAAAACTAAAAGGAATGAAACAAGACAAGATCGAATTAAGTTAGACCATGCTAGAGACAAACACTGGACAGACTTCTTTGACACATAAAGGTCAGGCGTCAGTTCATGCATAGCCAAGGCTTCTACCGTTTTTAGAAGTTGAAGACAGAGAGAATGTGAGATATTTAGGCGAATTCTACAGACGACCTAAAAATCATTATTCAAGTCGGTTGAATGGTTGGGATCGATTACTTGTTTATGCATTTCCTCTCACCCTTATAAAACCAGGCTGGAATATATTCTCGTATACGTGTTCATAGCAATCTTTGACTATAGTCGATGTACCTTGCTCTACAAGAACAGGTGAACTGGTAGATACACATGGATATGGTCTGTCAAATGACGTTGTCGTTTACACAAACAGAGAACAATTTAGGTCTAGTAAAGGTCAAATGAAGTTTGGCTGCAAGAAAAGTCCTACTAATTGGTCTCAAAAGACGATGTTTCACGATGTCTGATGCTTAATCACCTTTAAATTTCACATTCATAAACAAAATTCTTCTATAAACTGAGCTGATGACTAGTTTCGCATGTCTTTCTGACATATTCTTATCAACAAATCGACATTTTTAACACTCAAATTAATTCTAAATGACTGGTTTAAATATATGTATTTATCAGTGGCTCACTAGCTGGGGATAAAAATGATACACTTATTTCACCTTCATAGAAAGTATTACAACAATGTTTCAACTGTACTCTCATTCTAAAGACACACTTCATTTTGTCTCATAACAAAGATTTTTCGTTATATTACAATACTAGGTATAAATTATATTTGTGTAAGTCACAGAGATTTTGAAATGAAATAATTCCAGCATTTCACATGGAAGTCTGTATGGTCTGAGCTTCTTCAGTGTCCAATATTTGCCATACTATACGATCAAATCTTGATCATAGTGTATATAAATTTATAATATTGGTTAGATTTTACACCAATAGTAGCAAATATTAACTTAATAAGCCTGTTATACTTCTTCACTGTTATCCTAATCAGGGTAGAAGCTTTTGAACAGTTGAACTGGCAAGAATTATTTAATAATTTTCGTGTTAAAATTCAAGAACAGACAATAAAATTATGCATGTAAGTTAGATATGAAAGTAATTCAAATGAAATGATTCCTTTTATAGATCTTACATAATTCGAGATTTAGATCAGGACATTTTTGAAGCATAAATAATAATGTGAACGTCAATGAATTAAAAAAGTGTTTGTGAAATAGACGGAAACATTTCGTATAGTTTTGTAATGATATCGTTTAATATTAAGGAAACTGCTGTGAATTTCATGTACATAGATGTAAAAGCAAATATATGTATATTTATTTATTTATACTTTCGTCCCGTTGTTTATTTTTCGAAAATGGATATTTTTTTATGCAAGTTACAAAATTTCCTGAAACTGATAGTATTAGCATTGAAGGTTTATTTTAATAGTACTGGATGGTTTTTATGAGGAAAGCTTTCTTGGCATGGATTGAAAGAACTTTGAAAATATGAATATACAAGCAGATAAGAAGTTAAGTGAAAGTTTCGAAAATTTGTAAAATAAAAAAAACAATTCATGTACTCAATCCTGTATAGAGTTGTGTAGTGTGCAATGCTAAAGTTTTTCAAATAGAATGAAACTATTAACTAGTTCTTCTAGCTGTTCAATAATTCTATCACAATATAAGTCTGAATAATAACGTGTTTTGAAGGGAAGTATGAAAAGAGATTGAAAACAGTCTCTGTGTACCAAAACTTGAATATTAACCTGTAAACATAACATTTGATTCATGCTCTCGAAAAGGATCTTCCTTAGTAAGATCGAAATGTTGAGGAATAATGCTAAATATTTTGTTTATTTTATTATTTATTCTAATATACTACACTGAGATTTCACAAGTAAAGGTACACTTTATATGATGAATCATGCTAAATCGGTGCCTAAGTTTTTCTCAAACCAACCACTCCATTGTTGGTCAAGATACATTCAGTTTTATAAGGGACAATAAAAATGCAGAGTATTTCATTCATTGAACTCTCTTTTTAAAAATTGAAATTGTTCAGTAAAATAGAAACGAAGTTTGTAGCAAATTCATTCTTTTAAATACAGTGTCTTAAATAATTCCATTCACTTATATATAAAAAAGCTATATCACAAAAAAATGTTTACTTGTGTTGAATCACTAGCAACAAAGAGTCTAAAGTCAACCAAAGTAATCGATATTTTTCTAGAAGAACCGGGGAAATGCGGCTTTAGTTACTATTCTGTAAGCCTTTCTTATTCACTAACTCAGTAGTAAAATTATAGTCCTACCTGAATAGAAGCTGAAAGTTTTTCTGCGTTACTCTATCATACTTGCTTTGAAAAAGAATAAAAACGTGGCGTTAATTAGGAATTGTAAGCCAACCAATTTTTTAAATATGTCAGTGTTAGGATGACTTGTATGTATGTATAAACAATGCGATGGTGACAGAAACGAAATAAAAAGATAACCGAGAACAAGCAAAAGCTCTTAATTTATAGAAGGACAAGGAGAGAGCTAAGCCTGAATGTTTTCCTTCTGAGTGTGTAGATCAAATGTAATCCGTCTCATTGTTACAGTTTCATGTATGGGAAGAGTGTATTGGTGAGCTACACTTGGTAATGCTCTCGAGACACGTTATATCACGTTACATTATATTATGTATTAAAATCTATGTGGTGTCCTGGGTCTACCAGGTTTGCTAGGACAGAAATTCCCGTTAACTTAACCTTTTCCATGTCAAGTCGGCAACTTTCCCACTATCCGCAGACACATCGACCTAATCGTGAGTCATATGTGACCTGTTTCCCAGGAACAATTATGCTGGTATATAAAAAAATGAGGAGTTAAAACCAGGCAATGTATCCTTCAAATACATTAGAACATCACAATCAATACACCTGATAAAACTGCTGCAACTGCATTTATGTACAACGATGATTATGTGGGGAAATGGTTTCAGTATTGCAAGAAAAATAAATTACATAAACTAAAACCAACGAAAAACCTAACCGAAAAAACAGGAAGAGTATTTATCGTCTTCTTAGATAAATTCACACTTGATTGGTACAGTTCGTCTACTGTATCTGAAACCTGGAAACCAACTAGCAGCATAACGTTATGGGCAACTCTACACCTTCGTCTTATACTAAAACTGACTATTAAAATGTTAGAATGGAGAGAAAAACTGTTAATTGATTGATGTTTTCCATTCAAAACGTGGTGTAAATATTCGTCCTTAACATTTATTAAAGGCAGCGTCCTTCACACTTCATTGATCCATTATTAACTCTAGTCAGAGGTTGTGTTGATGTTATATTATTTGTCCGTTATTCACCAATTTTTGAGAATTCTTCAATGTTAAACTTTGCAACTACTAGTCTAGAAAATTAATTATACAAACAGCTATATTTTCAGCTGGTTTTCACCTTTCTTTCTGAGCAGATAGGAAACTGTAACGAAACATCAGCTGCTAAGACTCTGAGAAAAAGGATGGAACAGGACATGGTTTCTATATCCGTATTTGATATATTCAAACCCTGAAACACACATATATCTGGACTGTTTGGCTTACGAAAAGTTTACAAACCTGGAATTCCACTGTGTCCAATTCTGGATACGGTAAACTCTCCGTATTGCTCAACAACAGAATGGTTAGCGGAAGCGCTAGAGCGTCTGCGTTGCAAACCGGTTACATTCATTATGAAAGATAAACTCAGCTTCGTAGAACATGTTAAAGAAAACGGAACGATTTAAATGGACGCAACATCAAATGTCCTTATGACTATATTGAATAAGAAATCAATGAACTGAAGATAACATTGCAGCAAAATGGTTATCCGCTACACTTCATAAATAAATACATGTTGAAACCTAGAGAGAAGACAAAGAAAGATAATGTTACTAAGAAACCTTTATAACTTAGACCAAGTTTCTAAGGTGATATTGCCTCAGATATCTTAGCACGCCAATTAAGTAGATCAGCCGAAAAAACATTCACTGCAACGAAGCCTTTTGTCAGCTTCTCAACCAAACCATTGCTGACACAGCGAACCAAGGATAGGTTATCAATGATGGCCACTTCAATGAGTCCAACTACTCCTGTAGAGCTAGCTTCATGGTCCGTACTTAAAGGGCTCAAACCATGTGCACTCGTGAACATGTACCAACTTGGTAAGGGAAAGGAATGGCAAAGTCTGTCAACAATGCAGTCCTCTCACATCTAGTAGATACCGGATATCAGATAAAAGTAGATCAAACCTTTTCTGTGATATATCTTGTCTTTTTCAATCTCCTCAAAGGTGCACGGCTACGCATCTTATTCATAGCCGAAGCTATAGGTATCAATGCAAGAAAGCTAGACGAATGTGTTCAAAAGAAATATGTACATCCACTTTGTTTACCTTGGTCCACAACAGGGTCGATACGTTCTTTATGGACTTCCCCTCCACAAATTGTATATTTAAACTTCTCACCCCCTTCTTCTATATTGTCATTACATTGATAAAAAGAATAGGAGGAGCAACTTCAGTGAATTCATCAGCAAAATTGATAAATCTAAGAAACTTCAGTCAGGTGTGACATGTTTGTTATGTATATATGTTTGTATTCACTCATATATTTAGGATGATATTTAATGGTAATGCAGACAGTTTTTTCGTTAGAGAAGCTAAACCATGCATACTTGGAGGTGGACCAGTTTGTGTTGGTAAATGCTGCTACATCACCATCACATTTCTTGTAAAAGCTTCTGTCTTGTCGAAATAATACGAAACCAAACTAGATGGTCATAATACAGGTTATGAAGTCGTGGCTTTTGCAGCATTATTACATCCGTATTCCGATAAACATTTTGTGGATAAAAGTGACTGAATGTAATCTACTTTCTTCTGTAACGACCTGCAGTTAATGCTAAGTATTTCCAGAATAGCCATTTGATCTATGGTCATATGCTTAAGAGCCTGTTGCCATCCAACATGGTGCTTTTTCTTAATTTGCCTATCAACTTGTAAAGCAATAAGTTGTAACGGTTTTAAAAACACATGAGAGTGTATAATACGATTAGATGACATAATTGACATAATTAAAACAATAGGGAAAGGAGAAATTCGGTGCAATATATTCCATGATAAAATAAGTTAGCCCAAAGTTCAAGCGTGTCGCTAACTTATATCCGTTTGATTTGATCTCCATTTACCGACAATACTGAATGTTTCGAAATTGAAATAGTTTGACTTATCCCTAGCTTTGACCATTGTATTTGACTTATTCTCATGGATTTATAACTGTATACTCTGAAGAAGTTATTGAAAAAGAATTATTCGTTCAGATTATTCTTGTTCTGAATAATCTATTGGGATCTTTAAATTATTCAAACCTTCCCTTCCCAGTCTTGTCTTTCATGTCTTTCTGTAGTTTGGGGATAGTGCTTTTTGTGATCAGTATCCCTTGTAATATGTCGAAGCGGTGTTTGTGTATAACCACAACTCCTGTTAGGTAGCCTATCAGTTAGGCGAAATCCCTAGTCGAGTTCTATTCGGTCACATCACGAACCTTATCATTCGACTGCAAAGTGGCTAGCACAGTTACACTGAACTTTGCATGATGCGTTAGCAAAATATAGCGTTGAAGATATTATCCTATCCACTAAAAGGATAAAAACTTGACTTTATGTCACATATTTATTTACTAACATTCTTCTAATTGTAACTGCGGATCATATTTACAAACAGTTGCCAATAAGATAGTTAGGTGCTATCATCCCTATTAAGAATTTATGGGGAATCCAGCCTAAATGTACAGTTCATGTTTAACAGAAATTTGTACAGGCAAGTTGACAAAGCAGGAAAGAGAACTCCATAAGGCCATGTATTTACAAATCTATCTCTAGCAAAATCGGGAAATAACTCTCCTAATATCAAACCTGTTGATTTGGTTGTTCCATTATACTCTATGAAGATACCTGTGACTAAAAACCCTAACCCTTTTCGAATCTTCTACTTTCAGTGCCTATATCTCAAAACTGTAAATTAGATACTGAACAATCAACAGTACCAAATAAACTGTATTAAAAGCTGTCCATAAAGCTTGGATTCTAGTTTGCCGATCGCTTGAGTACAATCCGTCATGGAATACAAGCATCGGAATCGAAGGGTGCCATTGTGATGCTTATCCGCAAGGAGAGCTTTACAAAGCATTTCTCAAATCACAGATCAAAAGACTGACCAGGAATACAAAGAAATTATTGATTTTCCTCAATGCAGACCAGTTTTAAAAACCTCATGATGCCAATGGGATTTCCCTTCCCTCACTGCTGACCCACAGCAACCAGTGGTTCGTAGTAAGTTATAACTTTAAGATCACGCTGAACTGCATATAGGAGTTTCACAGAAATTTATACAATAAATGGACCCTTTACGGGGGACAAATTCACCACAATTTGCATAACTTTACTTTAATGCGAATCGGAGAACTGCATACAAACGATAACTCATTACCTAAATCGTTACTCAAACTTTTTGAAAGAGTTTAGACGATGGCCACAAGTATGATCATTGCGACAGCTAGCTTAATCCACAAATAATAACTTCAGAAGTATAAATGTTTCTCCATATAGTATGGTAAATAGAGAGGGGACGCAGTGGTGCTGCATAGAACTATAGAAAATTACTCTGAACTTCATCTGTGTTTCCACTGGCTCTGAGCAATTTGAAAAGATGTATTAGATGAGTGTAAATCCATAAGCAAAATTCATTTAGATCGGGTACCGTTTTTCCTATTCAGTAAGGATATTTGAAAAAGACTTCAGTTTTCAGCTGATTTATTAAAATAAGACTGGTTGAACACAGAGATAGGTTTAAAAAATTCGCTTGCCTATAGCTATTCTTTCTTAAACCAAGAATCTGGATTTTAAAGAAGTCTAAGGTGTTCTCAGTAATATGGTAAGTAGGTACCCGTAGGTTGAATAGAACAGAAATCTAGAACTAATGGTCTGGACAGTATTTGTAGCTAGCCCGTTTTCGTTTGCTTGATATTTTTCCTGCCTTTAGACAAGTCAGTCACAGTATTACGAAGGAAAGGAGAAAGAAGCTAACAAAATGAATGCTTGTAGTAATGATGAATAACGCTCTGGCTTTTGAAGCGATCGCTCCCGAGTCCGAATCCCGGTGGGAAAAGCATCACTCACTGGGAGGCATGTACATCCAGCTGACGAGTCCCATATAGGACGAAGTGCGCATCCTGGATTACCCTGCTAGCAACTATCCATCATTGCTACAACTAAAAAAACAGGTAATATCAAGATATCCACACAGAAGTCTATATGCCACTGGAGACCGATCAATTCGGTCCAATTAATTATACTGAAATGAATGCTATTAGGATTTTTCAAAGTTTAAAAGCGATAAATAGTGAATGCAGCGGTGGCACTCTGGTTAACTTTGAGCTGTGTCACCAGAAGTCTTCAATCAGTAGCTAGAAGTTGAATCCATAATGCACTTGACACTTTTATCAGAACTTATCAGCATGTTCGAATGTTTCCTTTGAGAATGAAACCCAAAATTTGAGATTCTTAAGGCTGAGACATTACCTATTAACCTGCTAAGTTACAATTGGCAACACTTATTCCCAAGTGCAGCTGTTACAGGAATTGTATTGGTTTTCCTCCGTTAACCCTAGTTCGAGTTTCATTAATGAAACCAACATCCACTATAATGTAGATAACAAATGTTTGATAAGTTGTAGACAGGAAAAGATATGAACCCTGAATTCCATTGTAATTTACTACAGAGTCGACTCAAGACTTAACAAAAGATTTCATCTAAAGTTTTGTACAAGAACTTCATCTTACCAACATAAGCTGATCTAGTCGATACTGTGAATTTAACGATATTTTTCTCATACAGTATTCCCTATTGCCTCATGCAATGCAGCTCAATAATCACTTTCACCTTCATATAGCAGGCAGTGAACCACATTTATCATGTGAAGGTTAATGATACTATCTGGATGCCTAAACTTTGCTAGGTGGAGTACAGCTGAAACTCGTAACCCACTGGTTGAACATCTAATGCCTAGAGTAATGAGCTGTAACTTCACGATTTCACCATGTATAGCAGAGTAGAAGTATATAACTCTAGTTATGTTCTGAGGCTGTACCGTAATGTGAAAGTTATTACTTTCAGATGTTTGTCCATAATCCCCCATGTTTCTAGACGACCAACTGTAATACTTAGTAATTTACTTTAACGAATCAGAACATACATTTAACACATTCAACAACTGTTCATATTAGTTTATACTTTTACATACTGTTTTAGAGAAATTGCCAAAATATTATTGGCTTATTACTTATATATTAACTGTGGTGTAGGTAAATGGACTGAGAATGTGCAAAATACTGAAACAATAACAGTAATAGTAATAACAAATAGTGAATAATCACTGGATTCACTGGTAGTATAAGTTACTATTCTTCCGTTTAGTGATTACACTTCATTGTTGTTGTGAATAAATTTGTTATGTTTGAATGACTACCTACAACAGGTGTTGTTTGCATAACTTTTGGATACAATTCTGATGATATATTTTGGTTTTGAACATTCTTGATACTTTCTGATTCAATTTTTTGAATACTGTCTTCATCTTCTTCATCTTCATTACATATTTCAATGAAACGTTGATTGTTAATGTTATTCATCCGTTGAACAAGATGCCTTTCTCTATCATCTATTGTTTGTGTAAGTGATTTGTCGCATGAATTCAACGCCTCATTTTGTATATCTTCGATAAATGCAGACTGTAAAATAAAGATGAATTCAAATCGTCATAAGTAAAATCAGTTAAACTTATAATTATATGGTTGAGTAAATCAAGCTCCTAGACAAATAGTCTCGTGAATTACAAAATGAACTATGAAAGTCAATCACCAAGTTTTTTTCTATCTGAAGGTCATCTTCATCGTCGACTGACACCAGCTGCAGAACCACTATAAATCTGGAGGTACCATACAGCTGCTTCTTTCTAGTAGGTGTCCCTTCAGCAATCAGCATCCACAACTCCATCATGGATGGAACCCATGGCCATCAGGTCTACTGGCGCTAACTTTAACCATTCAGCTACTGGTTCGGAACCAAATGATCCACGTTTTCTTACTTTTGTCATTTTACAATGTAGCCCGACTGTCATCCCCCTCTTTCACCGAGTATTTGTCTTCACCTCCAACTTGGTCTACCCCATAGATCCTGACGTTTCATTAAAACTTTGGAATACCTCATCTTGTAGTATATCACTAATTTGTCTGTCTAGTGCTAGAATGATGAACACTTCATTGTTTTACTTCATCACACAAGTCGCCAATCTGTCTTTTATCTTCTTAAATAGCATCGACGAAAGTTAGACAACAAAAAATTATACTAATACACAGTAAGATCGTGGCCTGTGGGAGAATAAGATTATAGAAGGAAGCGGTTAGTCATGATACAAAGAGGCAGCTTACAAAACCCTTCAGTTGTGCAAGTATACCACAACACTAAAGGAACTGGATCAGTTTTTGGAGCATAACTCTACACTCGTAAAAGAGGGGAGATTGATAGATCTCGCCGGAAATGTTTCTGATGTTTCTCACTTTCCCAGTGGTTACCGAGAATCAGTTCACCGCTCTAATGTTTCGTTAAACGCCAAGACATTAAAAAGAATACTGATCTTCAATTAAGTAGATTTTGTGAAGTAAAATATCGTTCAGCCAGAAAAGAAAATACACTTCAGGCAACCTTCTTGATAGCCACCTAAAAACAGCCCTTATGAACAATATACATGTATTTATAAAAGCCAAGCGAACAGTCAGACAATTCATCTAAAAGAATCTTTGACCACGTAATATTTTCCTAGTACAGATTTCCACTTCAATCGGACATGTACATACACAACTGTCCCAGTGTAATACTAAATGATATTCAAACTGAAGTTTTATCACTTAATTGTAAATTTTCTGACGTGATTTGGAACTCTGATATCACGCAATGCTACGTCTGGACAAGAAGTAAAAAAAAATGAAGTTAACTACCGTATACAGTTGCTATACGTGCCAAAACTCAAGAGTATGAATGAGGTCAGTGCCGAGTATAAAGCATGAAGAATTACCAACACAATGGGATATTACAAGTATCATGACAACAACTGATACCCAATGCACAAGAGGTGGATATCATGTCCCATTGGCTTAGTGGATAAAACTTTAGCTTATGAAGCGAAAGGTACTGGAATCAAGTCACAGCGGGAACAACGTCACTTACTCCTGTGAAGGTACATCCAGTTGACGAGTTACAAATAGGACGAAACGCGCGTCCCGGATTACTCTACTAGTTATCATGATCAATTTAAAAACACTTAAAATTGGACTATTTCTACTGTTTGTGCATATGCTCGATACCAATGCATTGGGTAACAACGTGACATTATAAAAAACGGATTATGTATGTTAACTAATAGCAGATAATTAAGTAAACACTGGCTCACCGTTGGGTGACTTAAAAAAGCTTATACTACAGCACCAATTCCTTCTACAGGTAAGTAGACAGAGTAACAATGGACTCCACAATTTTCACCTATTTATTGTGGAAGCTGGCAGACAGCTTTTTAAAGAGGAATACACACTTCTTAGATGCGTAGTGCCGTCATGTAGACGAAACTCTTATTTTGTTAAATAAAAATGTTAAGGTCAATGACCAGGTCAAAAGGTTCGGAAGAAGGCACTCAAGAAATTGAAAAGTAAAATATAATCGTGTACTTAGATGTCTTTCTTATCAGGTTGAATGAAAGAATGGATATGAACATCATATGTCGAAAAGCAGAACATATAATTATCCAAAAGTTTCACTTTCTTGTATCAAGCAAGGGATTCAATTAGTTGCTTGTTGAATAGTACAAAACAAATAGGCCCAGGAACAGTAATCACTGAACAAAATCTCATTGACAAGAATATGAAAAGAATAACAAACAGCCAGGTAATTTTCATTTGTGTAAAGAAGGACGTGATCTTACCTAAATATTCAACGGCAGACATCAGCAAACTATGAGAAACTTTTTCTCAGTTGCCAGTCTGAAGATAATGTATTTTAGCCTCAAAAAAAGAAGTAAGAATCCCTCGTACTTCCACATAAAAATATACCTGACTAATTCAGCCTCTTATGTAGAGTCCGTTATCATTGACATGCGATGAGCTGTATGTTGCAACTTGCTAAAGTGCATATAACCGTTTGACTGAGACAGTAACACACTTTCATGAGCGTAAATTATTCATATCGAATCCAAATAGATCAAATGGTGAATGCAAATCAAACTCATCAATCATTTCGCACATACCAAACCACCAATCACAAGTAATAACTAGGTATCACACAATCGCCTCTATATCGCACTCGACTCAGACGCCCAACTCGCCATTTCATGTTTCGATTCCACTCGACTACCCAGCCTGGATTGGCCAGACGCCTGATGTCCCCAAACGGTATTCGCAGGCTATGTCAAATACAATCCATCTGCACATTTGTTAAGCGATCACTTCCTGCCTCATTCGTTCGTCACCAGCCAGCCAGTCAACCACAGTTCCTCGTTGCTTATTCACATCATTCTGACCATCTCATCAATCTTCAGTGTCAGTATCGAGTGAGAGTAGACGGCAGCTGTTCATGTATGTCTGTGGTTTGTTGGAAATGCTTTCCGTTAAGCACCAAGTCTCTCAACCACCACATAGAAACACTGACTTACTTGACTCACTCAGTGTTGAGAATCCGGATGTTGTTCACGCTTTATGCTGGGTGCAGTGCAGTAGATCTCCACACTGATTACTTCAGATTGATGGAGGCCTGTCTTGCTGTCTTCCCGGTCCTGGTTGGCTTCGACATCCTCATCTGTGCTGGTGCCACCTGTAATTGAAACCATCCTGCCTAGGCAGGCAGGTAGGTGAAAGAGACAACTTCCTCCAGATTTCTCCCGTCATTGGTGATTCAGGCTTCTTCTTGTTGCTGTTGTTGTTGTTGATGATGATGCTATTGCTGTTGGTTGGGTATCTGAATCACCTCCGTCTTCTCTACGTTCACTTGAAGGAAGTCCCATCTCCACTGCCCCACCTTGCCTCTTCTGCTAACTTGTTACTTTTCGCCTGTATATCTTCGAGTTTGTGCGACAAGACATTGGAAATGAATCATCATCGCTGGCGAAATTAAAATCTTCTCCTGGGGGTATTTTCATCGGTCCAGCCAGTGTATGACCATCTTCTCACAGTTGTCTCTTGCATGATCCCGTCCAGTCCAATCCTGTTCAGTCGAACACAATCACAAAGATCATCGGTGGTGGAGGTGGCAACCTCGTCTTACTCCTTCCTCTCTTCACTTCAAATGCATCACCGAGCTTTCCATTGTGTTGTGAATCACTCGGCATGCAGCATCATATAGCATATGACTGTTGAATGAGGTTGATAAAGGTTTGTGATACTAGAACCGTAGTTTGAAGCAGCCACCTGACAAATTACTTCTCTGTCGACGCCTCGATCGAATACCTTTTCAAAGTTGATGAAGTTGAGGTAGATATCCAGTTGACTGGCATTCTTCTCTCTCTTCTATCTATGATGATGCTCAGCGTAGCGTTGTAATTTGATGCGCACATGGTTAGTTTTTCCTGAAGCCACTCAGTCATGTAGCTAGCCTATTCTGGTCGTAATTTAGAATGCAGAGAATGTTTTAGTTTCTGCAGGATGATGCTGCTTAGTATTTTTCTTTGGACGGAGCATGATTCCGCGCCGTTTCTTGTTGTTGCAAAGACTGGGGTCTCTCTTCGTCGAATGTTCAACAAGGTAACCCTACTTCAAGTTGGCAGGTACATTTTCTTCCCTGCCTGCAAACCGTCTGCAATATTGGTGTGGTGTGACCTTTCCGCTGTTGTCTTTGAGTCAGTTTTTAGTGCTTCTAGCGGAATTTCATCTGATCTTGCTGCTTTCCCGGATTTAAGCAACTTAATGGCGTTCGGAACTTTGGCTTTTGTCGGAGTACTGGTATTCACTGGTAATTTTGTGGCTGCCGGTGGCATTTCTGGACGAGTTGCATATGGTGGTGTTCGATTCGAGAGATGTTAGAAGTAGTCAGACCGTCGTTTTCTTGGTTTCTCATCTATGGTAAATAAGTTTCCTTCACTATCTTTCATTGGTTTCATCTGTGTTGATCTCTTCCCAGATAGTAGCCTGGTTATTTGATGTAGTGTTGTTAAGTCTCTCTTACCTTCAGCCTGTTCTATTTCAGTTGCAAGTGTGTCTTAACAAACAATAAATTCTGCTACCACGAAACTTATTAAACAAGAACTTTGGATGCTGAAGAAAACTCGTAAGTTCCATTATTCTTCTGTGTCCCTCCGAGAATCTGATCATCTCAGAACTCAGTTACACTAAATTATGATTGATTCACTTGTGCCTAGTGATATATTCTTATGTTTTTGATTCAGTATTTGGTTGTTACCATGTGAAATCACTTTTTAATGCCAGTTTCAGTTGATTTTCTTTGATCTAATTAATGTTCATGAATTATTCCCATATTTTTCATCTCTTAAATACATTTTCTATTTTTTAGACTAATCATTGGTTTTCTACATCTGGTAATCCTATCTACCTAATGAAATGATAAGCACTGCTACATTCTAGTCTTAGGTAATTGGTGGGAGTCAATCAGTAGGAAGTCCTCGATTTAGCTTTTTTGATTGTTACTAATTTTATCATTATTATTTGTCCCTTGGGTTCCTAGTGGAACATAGGGCTTCAGTAGCACGTCCCCAGTGCACATACCAACTAAGACTTCTTACCCGTTAAGTCTTACTCTGTATCTGACCCCAACATGCAGTGAATCGCAGTGTCATGTCTCTTCGATTAGTGACTGCATTCATAAACTTGAACTATAGACTTTGATCAGTCTACGGAACTATGTGTTGGACAGTTACATGGGTTGCCTATTGATGACTGACTTGTAGACTACATTTTTATAAAGATCACATTAGAATATTGATGGCTTATTTGACAATTATATAAGGTTCCTTTATTCGGATACTGCGGAAACGTTTATTTTTCTTTACTCTGGTTAGATTTAAACTTCACTTCATAATATGATTTCTTCCCATCTTTTTCAATTTTATCTAACCTCAGTATTTGTCAAAGATGATAACATTTTGTAAGATGATAGGATTATCGCTAAACATCACACTGGCAAAGGCTATCTCTCCTTCTTTTAGATCTCAATGTATAAAAGTGGTATAATTGATAATTTGATTTCTACGAATTACAAAATACAATTATCCATGCGTAAAATAATTCAATTCGGAGGTTTAAAGGGATTAACTGATTGCTTTACCTTTGAAAGTGAACATGGACTAACATCATTCCGAGAACCATTAAAAATTCGGAGCACTAGACAACTGTTTCATCCTAGTATGTGACTTCTTAGCAGTATACTCCCATAATCTCGCCTGGAGCGGAACCCAGGACCTTCAGATCGTGCGGTTAGCACACTGTTATTCAGCCACTGGGTCGAAAGATGGTACTACACCACGAATCGATAGACGTAAGAAGATTTGGAGCACTGAATTACGACCCAGTGATTTAGTGACCACATGCTTGCCATAAAATCTGTAAGTCCTAGGTTCTAGCCCTCGTGAGATCATGGATGAGCACAGCTTAGGGTTCCCATACTAGGGCGAAATATGCGTTCAATACTTCTATGTTTTCAATGCTCCTCCTATTGATGTCAGCCCATGATAAATACCAACTTGTAAAATAATTCTTACTGAATAAAGTTTATTTGGTAGGAACTTAAGTAGCTTATAGGTAACTGTAGGAAACTAGCTGATATACTTCACTAATAAGAAATGTCGCAGCCTACAAATGGTGGAAATATACTTAAAAACATACATCATATGAACTTATTAAAGTTTCAGTTTTCTCTATTTGCTCCAGTAAAGCAACAACATGAATCATTAAAATTTTGCCATTCACATTAGACTAATCTAAATACCGGATAGGTGTTTCATTCGTTTTATGCCAAGCTCATCTGTAGGAGTATGTCAAAATTAATTCAGGTCATAGAAGTGTCACCAATATCAAATTTTTGAGATCCTTCGCATTCCAGCATATTGGTGATCAACAAATGTTCTACCTGAAGGTATTTGGAAATTTATTAATTGATTTTAGGTTGGAGTTCATCATCACTGGCGTAGTCGTAGGTGCTCACTGCTGAGGAGTCTCATACTAGGACGAGACAGCTGTTCAGAGCTCCCACCTTTCAAGTGTTCCTTCAACTAATATCACTTCATGATGAATTTCAACTCAAAATCAATCGATAAACCCCGAGATAGAATTAATCCGGAGCTTTTTGGAGATTAGCTTCGGGAGGTGATTCCAGAACATTCAATCAGAGTTCGTGACTAGTCGAACATGAGGACAGTTACTCAACGACCACATTGCATATTGGTCGTGATATATCGTGAACTGACAGAAGTAGAGAATAGGAACCACTGGATTTCGATCTAGTGGCAACGTGCTGGCCACGGAATCTGGATACCCTGGGTTCGATTCCTGTCGGGGTGGGTCCGTGGTTGCCCACTTCTGAGGAGTCTTATACTATGACGAAACAACTCTCCAGTGTTCCCAGGTTTTCAGTTTTTCTCCAACTGATGTCAGTCCATGATGAATTCCAACCTCAGATTAACAGATATGTTGGAATAGAAGCAATACGATTGAATAATCTGCTTATCAATGTAAAGTGAGTTCATTCTTAAACCTAGGGAGAAGTCAGTCATCCCTAGCAACTATTAACAAAACCCGTCACATTAAAGTTCATTTAAATCTCCATATAACCTTATCTGTTCATCAGAGTTATTTTGAGAATATTGTCCAACATGTTAAAGGAATTTTCATACTTCAATCATCAAGGTCAGAGATATTTAAACCACTATAATAATCTACTTAGGTGCATAAACATGACTGTAAAATGTATGTTACGTATTAACTGCTGATGAACATTATCAAAGAAACCTTTTTTCAAATATCCGATCACATGGTGTTGACTAATTAAAAAGAAAATATTTTAACTTTAGGTAAAAATAACTTATGGCACTAAAAAGTTGTTTTCGAAAATTTTCCCATGGAAAAGCATACTGTCAACATATTTTAAAACATTCAGATTCAATAAGCACTGCTGTCTTCGGAAAAAATATAACTGTAATAATCACCTTATGGTAATAAAAAGAAGGATCATATAAAGTAAGTAGAAACCCTGGCCAACATAACATAATTTGCTTTATTCAACTTTATATCAGTTGATCACACTTACTGTTTCTTTCAATAACATCATGTTTTCATCAAGCTGACCTGTAGAAATAGATAAAAAATTAATGGGAGATGTATAGCATTTTGACACATTGAAATATATACAGTTAAGCAAATTCCAACATACCCATGGCTAGTTTGTCATACTCCTGAAGAAAGGAGACTTCAGTCTTTGCAACAACAAGAAACGCGCGGAATCATGCTCCGTCCAAAGAAAAATACTAAGCAGCATCATCCTGCAGAAACTAAAACATTCTCTGCATTCTAAATTACGACCAGAATAGGCTGGCTACATGACTGAGTGGCTTCAGGAAAAACAAACCATGTGCGCATCAAATTACAACGCTACGCTGAGCATCATCATAGATAGAAGAGAGAGAAGAATGCCAGTCAACTGGATCTCTACCTCAACTTCATCAACTTTGAAAAGGTATTCGATCGAGGCGTCGACAGAGAAGTAATTTGTCAGGTGGCTGCTTCAAACTACGGTTCTAGTATCACAAACCTTTATCAACCTCATTCAACAGTCATATGCTATATGATGCTGCATGCCGAGTGATTCACAACACAATGGAAAGCTCGGTGATGCATTTGAAGTGAAGAGAGGAAGGAGTAAGATGAGGTTGCCACCTTCCACCACCGATGATCTTTGTGATTGTGTTCGACTGAACAGGATTGGACTGGACGGGATCATGCAAGAGACAACTGTGAGAAGATGGTCATACACTGGCTGGACCGATGAAAAGACCCCCAGGAGAAGATTTTAATTTCGCCAGCGATGATGATTCATTTCCAATGTCTTGTCGCACAAACTCGAAGATATACAGGCGAAAAGTAACAAGTTAGCAGAAGGGCAAGGTGGGGCAGTGGAGATGGGACTTCCTTCAAGTGAACGTAGAGAAGACGGAGGTGATTCAGATACCCAACCAACAGCAATAGCATCAACAACAACAGCAACAACAAGAAGAAGCCTGAATCACCAATGACGGGAGAAATCTGGAGGAAGTTGTCTCTTTCACCTACCTGCCTGCCTAGGCAGGATGGTTTCAATTACAGGTGGCACCAGCACAGATGAGGATGTCGAAGCCAACCAGGACGGGAAGACAGCAAGACAGGCCTCCATCAATCTGAAGTAATCAGTGTGGAGATCTACTGCACTGCACCCAGCATAAAGCGTGAACAACATCCGGATTCTCAATACTGAGTGAGTCAAGTAAGTCAGTGTTTCTATGTGGTGGTTGAGAGACTTGGTGCTTAACGAAGAGCATTTCCAGCAAACCACAGACATACATGAACATCTGCCGTCTACTCTCACTCGATACTGACACTGAAGATTGATGAGATGGTCAGAATGATGTGAATAAGCAACGAGGAACTGTGGTTGACTGGCTGGCTGGTGACGAACGAATGAGGCAGGAAGTGATCGCCCGACAGATGTGCAGATGGATTGTATTTGACATAGCCTGCGAATACCGTTTGGGGACATCAGGCATCTGGCCAATCCAGGCTGGGTAGTCGAGTGGAATCGAAACATGAAATGGTGAGTTGGGCGTCCGAGTCGAGGAGGAGATTGTGTGAGGAAGAATTGAAAATTTCTGTAGAGTCTTGGAGCCGGGTGTATAAGAGTGTATAGAAGAGATTGAAATGGCGATGTGCTTCTGAAACTGGATATCCCAATGGAAACTCAATGGAGTAATGTTAATAATAGTAGATTTGGTTAGCTCGATTACAACTAGTAATACGCTGCAGTCCGAATGCTTTTTTACTTTTTGACATTCTTCCGTGAAGCAAATCTGTAGTATGATTGAAGTGATTATTTCTCCTATCAGGTATTTAAACCACAGTCAATTTAAATACTTTAGTGTCTTTACTCGAGGACTAACGAGCAGAACTCAGCTGTTCCTAAAAATTAGTAATTTTTGCATCGGTTATTAACTACTGACGAAGTGGCAAGCAACATTTTTATTGTTATCTTTCTTCCTTGTTTGAAGATAACGTTGTGATCGATATTTTATTAAATTTTTGAGACCTAAGATAAGTGCATGTTTATGCATCTTAAGGTGTGATGGCTTTTCCACCTGATAACGACATCCGGCTTCTTCAGTTCACCAAGGTCAGTCATAAATTCCAAATTATAACAACCAATACCTTTTGCAAAGTGTCTACTGTAATGAAACAGTAGTCTAATATTAAACATCGTGTCGTTTGAAGCAATGAATGTTAAACTGGAAGTTAATTGGATACATATCAGTCAAACAAGAGCAAAGGTAGTGAATAAGATCAAATGAACCTCTTGTATTTACTCGACATCAGAAGAAAGTTATTCAAATCAGTGTAAAACTAGTGGTAATATTGAATAAACTGTGCAAAGAAATAACTAGTCGTCTTATGTTCATTAAAGCGAACAATAGGAAATAAAACGGTTTAGACGATTTAGAAAGTTAAATGCCGATTGGTCAGAATACACTGATGTAGAAAGTATAACATGGCATAATCATTCATTTCTGATAGAGATATGATATAACAAATTTATCTCAAAAAATCAAGTTGTTTAAAATACTCATATTCAAATATTTGGCATAAATTGACTGTCAGTCTATATATATATATATATATATATATATATATATATATATATATATATTACAGAGATGAATTGTTGTATCAACAACGGAGTTTCTGATGAAAATCACTAGATCATGAAAGCGACTTCTAACCTCAGATGAATAAAATATACATTGAGTGGAATAATGATACTTGTTGATAAAAGCCTCTTCCGCATGTATACAGGTTTTGATGTTTAAATTTCTGTAATCTAAAGAATATTGCACACTCCTTTGTATAAGAGTAAAACTTGGGCACTGTGATAGACTGCAATACCATTTCAGTCTGTTTATTAGAAGTATCACACAGTGAAACAGTATCACCTATTGAATAACATCGTTTTGGATACAATTCATTGTCCATATTCATATCAGGCAACTAACTCCACAACCTCGAGACACAGTTTACATATTCCTAACTTTCTCTCCTTCTCTGTGCGATGACAACGGTAGTAGAATTTTCCACATATCTGAGACAGGTGTAGAACCATTCTCGTCAATGCATGTACTTGGTTTCGATTCGATAAATGAAGATTCGGTTATCAATCTCTCCCTCCACTCAACTAGGTTACTTTTCAACACTGTCACCCTATCCCATCCTACTGTGTGCTGGTGTGTCATCGCATGCAGAGCTATAACCGAACTGTTCTCCACACTTCTCATTTATTAGCATCTACTAATCTTGATTTCCTTGAGGTTTTGTGCTCTGTTATTCTATTCCAATCGACCCTGGCTACTCGACTGCTTCGACCTATGTACTTGACCTCGCAATCATTGCAAGGGATTGGTAAACCAGATTATTTTGCTGAATTGCATCGATAGGATCTTTTAACCTACAAAGCTTGTTTCTAATTGAGTTTGTTGGTTTGAATGCCACTTTAATCGCAGCCAGCCTCATTGAGAATTCTTGGTAGTGCTTCTGAGATGCCTTCCTTGTATGGTAACACAGCAGAGGCTTTGAATTCTGTCTCAGCCGTCACCATTATTACCATTGGTAGTGGAATGTTTGACCTAGTTTATCAACGAAGTCTTTTTAAATGAAGACAGTCATTTTCTAGTTATATTTACATTGAAACTTACTATGAGTATTAATTTCCATGATAAGATTCCTTGAAGATTTCATACATGTTGGTCTAAATAGCTGATTATCTGTCACCAGTTCAAAGTGGTTAAGAAATCAAAAGAAAAGTATAAAAGGATGTTTTCAAAGGTGAAATAGTAATGATATATCGAGATATAAATTAGAAGTTTTCATTACTTGAATAAATTTGGGGAAGGATAACAAAAAACAGGCTAAAGTGATTACAATCACTACTGCGTTTAATTGTTACTGCCTGATGATTGAAGGTGAAATGAAGATTTGGACCGCGGCTGGGTTTGAACCAGCCGCATGTTCTCCCAGGCAACCTACAAGGTCCAACTACTGACCAGATGTTTACTTCACTTCAGTCAACAAAGGTTTCGTCCGAATACTATGTGAGTTCATGGTGGGTTACCATTGCTTGATAGTATTCACACTGAATTCCAGGTGAGGACTTCCCATGCCAAACCAAATCTAACCTAATTAGAGTAGAGGGGGGGGGCACCATATAAATACTAGTCTGCCAAACCACGGCTGTCTCAGATAGTCAAAAAGTAAAATGAAGTCGGGCGAAACCCTTGATGATTGAAGTGAAATAAAAATCTGGTAAGCAATCGGACCTTGTAGCTCAGTTGGTGGAGCATCGATGAAGAAACCCGATTGTGAATCTTTCATTTCAAAGTTCATCAACTGACGTAACCAAACGTTTCAGCTGCAATATAGATACTGACAAACAAAAACAACGCAGAACTTCACACACAAGTACACCCACTCAAATATCAACACTACACAATATTATACAAACAACAGCTGGATAGAAAAATAATGATTCCTAAGTTGACAGAGTTCGTAAGAGCGAATAAACAATTTGAAGATAAAGGTCAGTACAAATATTCAAGCATTAGACAACGAGAAGGAGTGAATACATCTACCTCATTGCGACCGATTTTCAGTCATGCCTCAAATAGTCCACCACCACTGATTCCTTTCGTCTTGATGACCCCAACAAGGTAGATTACATCTCACCACACTATTCATGTCAACAGTCAGAGACTTCATTAACTGATGGCAGATCTGGGTCTGGTTACAATCAACTCTTTTCCAACTGAATCCAGCTTCCCGGAGCATGGCACAACGAGGTGGGTGGTGGCATGGCATCCGCGACACACGTTCAAGCCATCCCAGCCTACTAAGTTTCACAATTCATCAGTCGTCTGCCTACCCTACCGTCGAGTAACCTTTGCCTGACCTCAACACTGCTCGAATGGTGATACCACCAAACGAATTTATCGGTGATCAAAACCATGAAACCGCTTCATGTCTCCCACTTTCAGTGTCTATGTCTCATAGACGTACAACAAGACAAGACGGACTGCGGCACGGTATCCTCGTTCTTTGATGGATTCGTGAGTTCGATCCCTAGCCGGGTCGTAGGTGCGTACTGCTGGGGAGTCCCATACTTTTGACGAAACAGCTGTCCAGTGATCCCAGAATTTCAATGGTTCCCTAATTGATGTCAGTCCATGATGAATACTACTTCTAAACATGACATACTTCCTCGGTACTCCCTTTATAGTCAAACACTGCCATAACACCTCACCATGAACACAGTCAAATGCCACCTTCATATCAACAAATACATGGTATCATTCTATGGCCGGTAGCTGTGCTTGTGTTCTACAGCCTGTCAGAAGATGGAAATATGACTGATGCGCCTTCGTCCAGGTCCGAAATCTGACTGTCTGGTTTTCTCTAGTTTGCTGTTCACGAGCTTCAGTCAGGTGTTTGATAATAATGGACCCTAGGAACCTAAACTGGTCCCTCTACGGTAGTCACAAGAAGATTTATCTCCCTTCTTATAGACTGGGATGATCAGTGTAGTACAGTAATGTGATTGGACTACCTATGATTCCCGTACACTATATAATACCTCTATCACCTTAGTTAGCAGTTACCTACCCTCATTCTTGAAAACTCGAGGTTACAAACTATCAGATTTTACTGTTTTCCATCATTCCAGGTTCGATACAGCCTTCAGAACTACGAGGAGCTTCGAGGACCGAGATCTACATCCCATTCAGATTCAGGCTGAATGTTGGACAACTGCAACGTTGATGAAGTCTTGTTGAACTCTACTTTAAAGTGTTCTAACCAACTTTCTATCCCTCTGTCCTGGGAGGTTTTCAGCGTCCCATCCTTTTCGGTGATAGTTTCACTCATCATCATTTTTTTCTCACCTGTATCCCTAAAAAGCCTAAATAGTTGGCGAGTGTTACGCAACGCTGATGCCTTCTCTATTTCTGTTTATGTGGTGAGCAAGGAATACAGTTTTTCCACTTACTCCTGTGTTCAGTTATTCCAAAAATCATCATTTTGAGTCATTTCTACCCATACATCGAATTAAAGTAAATATCCCTTTTTCATTCTGTGAAATTTGGACGAATTCATCAATTAATCTTTGGAGAGAAACATGAAAACCTTGTATTGATTGGTCACAGGAGTGTAAACAATGTCATGTTGTCTAGCTGTGGTGCAGACCGAATCCTATCGATCATATTTGCAATGTGGCCATCAAGCTATGAGGCTCAGCAATGCAGTACACATTAGCAAGTGTTAGTTGGTAGGAAGTAAAGTTGCTGACTACAGCAATGGGTGACGCCGGTCTAAATCTCAGGTGGGACACCAGTTCTGTTGAGGTTGCAGATACGCCTTGCTGACGAGTGCCAACAATCACAAAACCTAGGTCCAGGGCTTCTTACTGATTGCCTACAACCAACTAACATAGTAATCTTGAAATCTACGAATATGTGAGGATTTCATGAAATCATTACTAACCTGTTTCTATAGACCTCATAGAATCTTCATCAGATTCTTCAGATTCATCTTCTTTTTCACCGCAGTTATCTGTAAACAGTAAGACACTATGAATATTATATAAATCAGAGTTACAGAAGTTTTCACAAAAGCCAAGGAAAATGTGGGCTATAATAGTTCTATTTCGACAGCAACTTGAAGATTCCTTTTTGTGTACAACTTTCAAGATCAAAATGATCATAAAATGTTTCTTTCTGTCTAATTCTATTGGAAAATTTTAAGGGATAAGGGATACGATTTGGGCATAAAACCTGATTTTACAATGAAAATGACTGACTAATGCTTAGTATACGGATTTTCAACACCAACATCAAGTCAGTGCTCTTGTATGGTTCAGAGACTTGGCGCGTTACGAAAAGGATTTCCAATAAACTACAGACATTCATCAACAACTGCTTACGCTCGCTACTGAAGATCAGATGGCCAGAAAGAATAAGCAACAAGGAACTCTGGGAACGAATCAACCAAGAACCTATCACACAACAAATATGCGAAGAAGTGGAGATGGATTGGCCATGCACTGAGAAGGCGACTGAGGACATCACGCGTCAGGCCAGTTGCTCGAGTGGAATCCCCATGGGAAGCGACGAGTTGGACGTCCGAGGGTGACATGGAGGAGGTCGTGCGAGAGGAAATGAGAGGTTGTGGCTGTCGTGGGACCAGGTTCAAAAGATCTCAGAGAACAGGATGAAATGGAGACGTGCTACTGAAGCCCTATGTCCACTAGGAACCCAAGGGACAAATAATAATAAATATAAATAATGCTTAGTATTGAGCAATTTTGTAACCATCTATAATTATAGTATCTGAGATCTTTTATCTAGTTCTTAACCAAAAAATACTATTAATATAGATGTAAAACTTGGGCACTATGGAACAATTTAATTCCATACTCGATTTGTTTGTTTGATTTATAACATGCAGTGATACAGTATCATTTGCTGTATGGTGTTCCAAGCATAACTTGTCTATTGCTCATGATCATATCAATATAATCAGACTACCTTCAATATTTGATATGTGTAGCCCTGTCATCGCTTATTCTTTGTTTCTATTGATAGTAAAATTTTCTATATCTCTGGTATAGACGTTGCGTCATTTCCATTACATGTGTTGGGTCGATGTTGATTGGATGAATAAAGATTCAGTAATCTCTCTCTCTCTCCACCTAATTATATTGAACTTAAGTACACTGGCTTTGTCCCACCCTATTGTGTGGTTGTGCGTTAATGCATGCATTACAAAAGACACGGTTCTCTTCCGGATTGTTGATCATATTCGAATCTATCATTCTATATTTAGCTAAATTTCTATGTTCGGCTATTCTAACTGACACTGATTGGCTAGTTTGACTTATGTTATTGACCTGACTCACAATCATTACATGGAATTTGATAGATTAGATTATCTTGCTTAATTGGTTCAATCGGATCCTAAAGCCAGCCGACAAAGCGCATTTCTGGGTGAGTTTGTCGGTTAAAATTCCATCCTAACTCCAGCCTCATTGAGGATCCTACGTAAAGTTTCTGATAAACCTGCCTTATAGGATAACACAATGGAGGCTGTGAACTCCTTTCTACTTATGTTATTGTTATTATTCTTATTCGTGTCACTTTTATTATTTCATTCCTTGTGTGTTCGTATGAATTTCTTAATAAATGGCGGGGGATAATTATTAACTACTAGAGCTTCTTTTGCGTGTTTAGGTCCTTGTAAAAAATACTGTATATAGTTTTATACCGTATGATTTTATTGTTAAAGACTGCAGGCACTACTTGTCAACACACATCATCAAGACATATTAGTAATCTTAGGGAGCCTAAAATTCCTTTGAAGAATAGAGCTTTCAACAAATGACATTGCTAACTTTCTGTAGAGCCACTTTTAGATCAACTTTTCAAACTTGGCACAAAATTGATCTAATGAACACACTGCAAACTTGATTGACAGGCCTTAAATGGTAATAGTCTTGAAGGATTTCATAATGAAAGTGATTACCAAATCTAAACTAATTCTTGAACATAGTCATATGATAATGGAATTTTTTAAAACAGTAGAAAATATATGTATACACAGTTTGGACTCATGTTCTCCTGTTCTCACAAATAATTATTAAATGTGGAGGTTAGGTATGATTTCCCTGGAAAAAATTGATAAACATGTGAATTTATTTTGATAGGATATTTAAAGTCTACCTATTCTTAGGTATACAATAGTTATTTTTATTAAGGATAAACTTAATAAACATCAATGTATTATTATATCAGGCTCACAGCTTAAGTGTCATATCTTCTACTCTGATGATATTAGTAATCTATCCCAATCAAAATCATAAAACACATATTCAAAGCTTTAAAGTGATAGTCGCAAGTCAACTGTCTACCTAAACAACGGAAATACATATTCTGTTCGAGAAAATAGCAACTAATTTCCTCTACACACTTAAAGTAATACTTTAATACATTTCACAAAGAACAACACCAACTATCACACTATTTAAAATACAATCATCGTCTTTTACACAGGCAGCATCGTTTCAACTACAGGCGGTGACACAGACGAGGATGTTAAAACCAAAAGTGGAAAGACAGCGAGACAGGCTTTCCATTTCAGTCTGTTTATTAGAAGTATCACACAGTGAAATAGTATCACCTATTGAATAACATCGTTTTGGATACAATTCATTGTCCATATTCATATCAAGCAACTAACTCCACAACCTCGAGACACAGTTTACATATTCCTAACTTTCTCTCCTTCTCTGTGCGATGACAACGGTAGTAGAATTTTCCGTATATCTGAGACAAGTGTACAACCATTCTTGTCACTGCATGTACTTGGTTTCGATTCGATAAATGAAGATTCGGTTATCAATCTCTCCCTCCACCGTAAGTCGGAGTGTTTCATAAGCCAGGTTATCCCATCAGGCCTATAGTAGATTTACGAGTTGTCTAAATATTTAGCAATGGTGTTAGGTCCAATAAGAAATCACTCAAAGTCTCGACTTAGCAACTCTTATGACTTAAAGCATAGGTTAGAAGACACACACCTAGACGACAGTGAAAAAAATGGTCAGTTTTGACAAAACTAGCCTTTACACAAACATACTGATTGACATGGCTCTGGAAGCAGTTTGAAATGGACTTAAAGATGACAAAGAACTTACGCAGCGAACTAAGCTGCCGATTGAGGAAATCATACTAGGAGTACGATTGTGCCTAATATCTACAGTTTTTAGGTTTCAAAATAAAATATATAAACAAACTCAAGGTGTTGCCGTGGGATCACCAATATCCCCTATCGTCGGAGACAAGGCCTAGTTAAATGCTTAAGTGATAGAGCGAAAAAGCTTACTAGTAGATCGGAAAATCGGCGACGCAAGAATACCCAACGTCTCAATAATTACCCACCGAAATTCATAAGTAAATTCATAAGAAATCGAAAAGAAAATATAAGCAGTGGTAGTAATACAGGTGTTATTAATAATTATCCCACTACTAGTGGTTATAATGGTGACGGCTGAGACAGAATTCAAAGCCTCTGCTGTGTCACCATACAAGGAAGGCATCTCAGAAGCACTACCGAGAATTCTTAATAAGGCTGGCTGGGATTAAAGTAGCATTCAAACCAACAAACTCACTTAGAAACAAGCTTTGTAGGTTAAAAGATACTATCAATGCAATTCAGTAAAATAATCTGGTTTACCAGATCCCTTGCAATGATTGTGAGGTCAAGTACATAGGTCGAAGCAGTCGACTAACCAGGGTCGATTAGAATAGAATAAATAACAGAGCACAAAAACTCAAGGAAATCAAGATTAGTAGATGCTAATAAAATGAGAAGTGTAGAGAACAGTTCGGTTATAGCTCTGCATGCGATGACACACCAGCACACAGTAGGATGGGATAGGATGACAGTGTTGAAAAGTAACCTAGTTGAGTGGAGGGAGAGATTGATAACCGAATCTTCATTTATCGAATCAAATCCAAGTTCTACACCTGTCTCAGATATGTGGAAAATTCTACTACCGTTGTCATCGCACAGAGAAGGAGAGAAAGTTAGGAATATGTAAACTGTGTCTCGAGGTTGTGGAGTTAGTTGCCTGATATGAATATGGACAATGAATTGTGTCTAAAACGATGTTATTCAATAGGTGATACTATTTCACTGTGTGATACTTCTAATAAACAGACTGAAATGGAATTACAGTCTACCACAGTTTCCAAGTTTTACACTTATATTAATGAGACAGGCCTTCATTAATCTGAAATCAGTGTGAAGATAAACTGCACTCAGCATAAAGCGTGAATGAGATCTGGATTTTGAACACTAAGTCAGCCAATTCAGTGCTGCTATATGTTTCAGAAATTTAACGTGTCACGAAAAGCACTCCCGACAGACTATAGACATTCATGAACAGCTGCCTTCTACGCTCACAAGATACTGACACTGAAGATTAGACGGCCAGAATAATAGGAATAAGCAACAAGGAACTCACTATGGCAACGAACCAACCAACAACCTATTACCCAACAAATATGCAGAAGGAGAAAGTGGAGATGAATTGAGCATACACTGAGAAGGTCGACTGAGGACATCACGCATCAGGCCATATCATGCTGTCGAGTGGAATCCAAATGGGAAACGACGATTTGGGCTTCTTATGCTAGGGTGACATGGAGGAAATCATGTGATGAAGAAATAAAAGCTTGTGGGGAGTCGTGGCTCCAGGTTTTGAAGACTGCAAAGAACAGAATGGAATGAAGGCGTGCTACTGAAGCCCTATATTCCACTAGGAACCCACGGGAAAAATAATGATAATAATACAAACAAGAACACACTACAAAGATGATAATTTACCTGAAATATTTAGTATTGATATTGAATTGCTTCGATTAGTAGTATTTTTATCGAGTTGACTAAAAACAGAACTATGATTTTCATCACTTTTTAAGAGTGAAATTTCTTCAATATTCGGTGTCAATTCAATTACCTAAAATTTAAAAATACACAAAGATTGAAACAGAATATTAAATAACTCAGTTAAATTTTTAAAAGATTCTGTATAGACATTTCTATTCATCAAATTCTCTCGGGTGTGCTACCAACTACGGGAATATTTGACTGTCTGTCAGAGGACGAGTATACTACACAAGAGTCCACTCTGTCCTGTTGTACCATAGTGAGATATACCCGTTAAAAATAAAATACATGAAACCCATAACACGGTTATGATCAAAGATGTCTTCGTAGCATCACTGATGCATAGTGGCAGTGTTGAAGTCAGATGAAGGTTACTTGTCAGCAAGACAGATAGACAAGTCAATTGATGAGACTGTGAAACTTAGTAGGCTGAGATAGCTTGAACGTGTGTCACGCATACCACGCCACCACCTACCTCGTTGTGCCATGCTCCAAGAAGTTGGATTCGGTGGAAAGAGAGTTGATTGTCGCTAGACCAAGACGTAGTATCAGTTGATGAAGTCTCTGAGTGTTGATGTGATTCATGTGGTTAAATGTAATCTACTTTGTTGGGATCATCAAGGGGAAAGCAATCAGTGGTGGTTGACTATACGTAGCATGGCTAGAAATTTTCCACAAAGGCGCAGATGGATTCACTCATTCTCGTTGTACTAACCTTTATCTTTAGATTCTTATTCGCTTACACAGTTTTATCTACCCACCTGTTCTTCGTGTGGCAACATGAGCGTATGCACTTGTGTGTAAGTTTCTACGCTGTTTTTTGTCTATTAGTCAGCCTCTCTTATCACTTGGTAAATATGAAACTAGTACTTTAATCATAACATGATTTGTAGAGCGTCTGTTTTCTTCAAATTTACATTGTGATCTCTAAATTAAAATCTTATTTAAATTTAGAGCTACTACCCTTTCGCTTGTTAACCATATTAAAAACTTTTATTTCTTTATAGAAACCACAATTTGACATTATTATAGGAATTAAAGATATGTGGAGTTGGTTAAGTACATTAAATTATTAAATATCTTCATGTTAAAACAGTTGACTAGTCTCAGTGTTCCTATTGGTTGGTTATTTGATGACATCCAGAATCGGATGAATTCAAAGTAATCCATCAGTACACATATTGCTTGTAAGAAGACTAAGAACTTTCTATTCATTAACAGCGTATCATGATAGCCAGAATGCCTAGAATAGATATTCAATTATAAAAATATTACGTGAGGTTCATAAGCATTCTTAAAAATGAATTTTTATAGTTACATCGTCAGACTAAGGCTAAGTCTAGTAATGGTGGTTAGACAGTACAATAAACTTGAAGGAACAGCGCTGCAAACAAATTTATTATAGTTACCGGTGATTTATATTTCATTTAAGTGTTGAAATACATCAAGTGAATTATAAAATTGTCTTTCATCGCTAACCAGAACTAGATGTTGGTAAACGTTAGATTGAAGACTCGCGTAGAGGAATCTGTACGTTAAGTAAAACATAAATCATAAATCCTAATATTAACTGACAGAAACAACGCAGAACTTCACACACAAGTACAACCACTCAAATATCAACACTACACAATATTACACAAACAACAGCTGGATAGAAAAATAATGATTTCTAAGTTGACAGAGTTCGTAAGAGCGAATAAACAATTTGAAGATAAAGGTCAGTACAAATATTCAAGCATTAGACGACGAGAAGGAGTGAATACATCTACCCCATTGCTACCGATTTTCAGTCATGCCACAAATAATCCACCACCACTGATTCCTTTCGTCTTGATGACCCCAACAAGGTAGATTACATCTCACCACACGACTCATATCAACAGTCAGAGACTTCATTAACTGATGGCAGATCTGGGTGTGGTTACAATCAACTCTTTTCCAACTGAATCCAGCTTCCCCTATCATGGCACAACGAGGTGGGTGGTGGCATGGCATCTGCAACACACGTTCAAGCCATCCCAGCCTACTAAGTTTCACAATCTCATCGATCATCTTCATTTGATCTCAACATTCTTCACACAGCGATGATTACACTAAACGCGAGCAACCCTACGTAGACATCTGTGATCAGAACTCTGTTGTCCGTTTCATGTTTTCTACTGTAACAGGGCATGTCTCACAGTCGTATAACAGGACAGAACGGACTGTAATGCAGTATGCTCTTCCTCTGATAGGTATGCAGATATTCCGGCGGTCAGCGTCACAGATGACTAGAGTTGGGAAGTGCCGAACTAGCTTTTTGTATGCCTGTTGAGATTTCGTCAGAAACTCCCCATGTGAGTGGAGTGGTCGAGCGATTCCACTACTTCACTTTCTTACCTTACCCTTAAAGTAGTCGTAGACCTGTCTTGGGACATCATCTTGCAGGTGCGAAACACATGTCAAACATATTCAGATTTTTGTTTAACGTGTCCAGAACAGCCTGCATTACGTCAGCATCTTCATCAAGGAGAACAATTTTATCTGTATACTTCAAGTCATCCAGATGACTTCTTCGAATTGGGTCAATCCTTGTTAAGTGGCACTTTCCCAAGGTTACTTTCGTCAGTACTTGCATGGCGGAGCTGAATAGGGACAGCGACAGTAGGCATCATTGGCGCACATCACTAGTTGTAGTCATTTGTGATAACAACTCTTCATAGGCCTTGACATGGCTGCATAAGTTCGAGTAGAATGTTTTGATTAGCGTTATATACTTTTTTGGTACTCTCTTCACAGCGAGATACTGCCACAACACATTACAATCGACAGAGTCATGTTTCATCTGCAGGCCAAGAAATATTGTCAATATGTATGCCTCCGTTTATGGACCTGTCGGAATGCATGAACTTCAAGTGGCCAGTTTACAACATGCCCTATTGAATTTTGAGTTTTATTCCCAATGATTTGGGATAACGTTAATGAGTCTATAAAAGCACTTAGTTATTCATGGTTTTCTCGTGTAAGTTGGATATTTTCTTAGTATAATACATAAGTCTTTCTGGCAGCAAATGATTATACTTTTGCTAAATGTGAGCGCTATTTGTTTCTCCGATTGAAACCGCTATATTAATTTTATTTATTTGAACATTCTGACTAATGATTTATTTTTTCTTGTCATATTTACCTTTAGTGAAGCTGCTATTTTCTGTTGGTTCCCCTGAATTTAGTATTTTATTTACAATTGTGTTTTCAAAGGACACTGCAGATTGATGAATGCTTACAAGGTGTACGTGAATTTCAATCGTATTCCGCTGAATTAATAAATGTCGGATTCCTACATCATTCTTTGTGATTTCTAGGTTAATTATGCTTGGGATGAGCTATTGATGAAGTTGTCTTTTCAGAAAATCTGTATTACCCATATATCATGAAATTTTTATGAATTAAGAATCTAAAACAAGCATTACATTTCATTAAATGAAAGCTGGTCATTAAACTGTAATCTAGAGTATGGCAAAGCTTCGAATCAGTAGTATATTTACTGTATCCGATTCAAGTTTTATAGAGAGTAGTAGTAACTCTATATTGAAGTTAAGTATTTTAATAAACAATCTCTGCAGAAGATACATCTTCTCCTCACTGATAATCTGTTAAAGCAAATGCAACAAAGATGTAACATCATCTGCACAGGAGCCCATCTGCCGACAGAGGTAAAGCAATTTGTCCCTGTATAGTAACGCGAATTATAAGTATCATAACAACTACTGATACCTGTTGCACAAGAGGTGGACATCGTTTCTCAGTGACTTAGTGGACAACACTTTAGCGTTTGAAATGATGTATACTGCGTCCCAGTTTCAATGGAAATAACATCACTTACAAGGGTGCAGGTTCATTCAGCTGACGAGTCCCAAATAGGACGAAACACCCGCCATTCCTCACCAAGACTAATGTAGCAAAAATTGAATGGAAGTATGATGAGGAAATCTTTTAAATTCTTTAAAAAGTATATAAAGGGTTTATCTAATTTAGTTTAAATTTGTTGTTGTTATCGGAAGCAGCGAATTACCTTTTCTACACCACAAAGTTGATCAGTAATAGTTTCATTTTCAATGGTGCAGATATTTTGTTCTTTATCAATATTGTTTTCATTGTTTAGCAAGTGAATGTTAGTTGAATCTGCCTGACAATCAGAATCAAAAAGACTAGCCGATGTTTCTTCCATCCTTGCTTTTGAATTCTTTATTTCTGTGCACATTTCTTCAAAACCATCCGCTGCTATAATAGATCCTTCTGTAGGGCATACTTCAGTATCACCTGTAGAAATTGGTGGTGGAGCTAAATTATTCACTCCATCTGTTTCATCTAAGTATAGAGATTCTTCATCTGAATGGCCATCACCATTCCGTGTACTATTGCTATCTCCATAGAGCCAATCAATATCACCAGGAGAGACATGTATATTATCTGTTGGTAATCCAGCCTCTTCAGCTTGCTTTCGTAATTCAGCTTCTCGACACCTGGCCTCTATACGTTTACGTGTTCCAGATAACCCTTAAATTAAAGGATAATAGGTATACAGAATGATAATGGACCCACGTTAATGAAAATATGAATCTGTAAAAATAGTGGTTCTTGAAGCTGAAGTTTAAAGGTTGAAAACGTTTCGTTATTAAGGAATACTTTTTAATCACTTAGTTGAACACTTAAGCATGAAAACTTATATCTAGGTAAACGGTTAGTTCAAACAAAATAAAAATCTCCATACATTATACAAGAGGACCTACATGTCACATAAAAAGGGTAAACTGAAATTATTTTGTGGTGTTATGCAGTAGGTGCCACTGATAAGGATGTGTATAAGTAGTATATATTGTGAGGCTGGAAGAAGTTATAGGCAGTTACGAGTGATGCATAAATATGTTGCCCAGAGGAGCGCAAAAGATGATATGGCCGTATCAATCGCAAGATGACACAGAAGACGAAGATGAATTTAAACATATTGTGCAAATTTAGGCTTTAATGGAAGGTTATAAGATTTTATCAGTAATATACAGATTGACGTAACAAGCAGCCCTTCTTCCATTCTGCCGTCTCCATTTTCCTTCAGTTGTCTCAGAAGAGAACAGGTTTTTTAAAAATTGCGGTAGCCTTCAACTGGATGGCAGGAACATTTAGGTGTGAGTAAGAAATAAAGTTAGGAGGTAACTACTACTGCTTGTACATATCTGAGTAGTTCATAAATGTGTAAAAAAATTTGTTTTGATTGTTTACTAATACTGGTTTCTGGTATCTAACCAGTAAATTACCTTGAGAAAATTCTGTACACAAACACTCGTAGTCACGTCACAGCTGACGACTAACCGTCGTCTCGGGGTCTAAACCAAGTAATATTTCTACTGGGTGATGATTGAAGGTAAAATGGAAATTCGGACTGCAGTCGGATTCGAACAAGCCACAACCGGGTTTTCAGCTGGATGCTTTACCAACTGAGCTACAAGGTCCAACTGCTGACCAGATGTTTACTTCACTTCAATCACTATGGGTTTCGCCTGACTACCATGTGAATTCGCAATGAGTTACTACCGCTTGAATGTACTCACAATGGGTGCCTAGTCAGGACTTCTCATCTAAACCCAAATATAATTGAATTAGAGAGGGGGAGCATCATACTGGTTATCATTTTTGACTAACTAGGATAACCGTGGTTTGATAGACTGCTAATATTTGCGAGAAATTTCAGCTTCTTGTTTGCTTTCATCATGGATACATATGAGGGTTATATTCATTCGATCTCATTGAAACAAACCTATTCGTTATAAATGCTTCTAGCGACTTACACTGTGCATAAAATACAATCCTAAGATATTCAACATACGGTGATTTGTGTACATTCCTTCTGTATATGAAGCCGTGTGGGTTTGTTGATTAGTTTTCGAACCGGAAGATCATATGTTTCATTGATATATGGGTAAAACTTGGGCACTGTGATAGACTGTAATTCCACTTTATTCTGCTTATTAGAAATGTCACACAGTGAAAGAACAGTATCATACACTGCCTAACATCGTTTCGGACACAATTTGTTGTCCATATTCATGTCAGGCAACTAACTCCACAACCTCGAGACACAGTTTACATAGTCCTCATTTCCTCTCCTTCTCTGTGATGATAAGGGTAGTAGAACCTTCCATATATCTGAGACAGGTACGGAATCATTTCTATCACTGGATGTATTTAGTGTTGATTCGATAAATAAAGATTTGGTTATCAATCTCCTTCCACCCGACTAAGTTTTCAATGTTGTTGCCCTATCCCATCCCACTATGTGATTGTGTACGATTACGTGCAGAGCTAAAGCCGAGCTTTTTTCTAAATTTCTTATTATATTATATTATATGATGACCAACACTGAATTCCGACATCTAAGCTTTACCTGCCGTCAATATTGTGTTGGTATAGCTCTTGAAATTCATAGAAACACATTGAGCTACGCTCTTCCTTTCGCTTCTATCTTATCCAGCTGTTTTGCATCAAATTAACGGAATTTCGGGTAAGTCGTGAAAACCTGAAGGGACCGACTCTAGGTGTATACCATCACCGTCTCCAACTTATCCTTCCCTATAACATAATAGTTCAACTTAAGTACTGTGGTAGAATGCAATTCCATTTTAATTGATTTATTAGATTTACCACACAGTGTGGAACAGTATTGTTTACTGGATTTCGTTTCGGACATAATTTATTCTCCATAGTCATACCAACCAAGATAACTACACAACTCTGAGATATCCTTTATATAGTCTTAGTTCTTTCGCCTGCTTTGTGATATGGGTAGTAAGATTTTCTATATATCAGGAACAAGTGCCGAGTTACTCCTGTCCCGTGTATTAGGTGCTGACTCGATAAACAAAGATTTAGTTATCAACCTCTTCCTCCACCGTGCTCTGTTAGTTTTAAGGATTTTCATTCTGTCACATCTTAATGTATGTACTCGCACGCATAGCTATGCCTGAGCTTTTTTTTCTAAATTTCTTACCGTACTAGGATCTACTAATTTTGACCTAGCTAGGTTTTCGTGCTCGGGTAGCAAGTGATTTGGTAAACTACTTTATTCTGCTTACTTGGATCAACAGAATATTTCAATCTAAAAAGCCTAGTTCTGAGTGAGTTTGTAGGTCCAAGTCTTTGCGAGGTCAACTACAAAGGTCAAAGTAGTCGACCAACGTCAATTACAATAACAGAGTACAAAAACTTAGCGAAATCAAGATTAGTAGATCCTAATATGATAAGAAATTTAGAAAAAGGCTCGGCTTTAGCTCTGCACGTAATCGTACACAATCACATAGTGGGATGGGATAGGGCAACAACATTGAAAACTTAGTCGGGTGGAAGGAGATTGATAACCAAATCTTTATTTATCGAATCAACACTAAATACATCCAGTGATAGAAATGATTCCGTACCTGTCTCAGATATATGGAAGGTTCTACTACCCTTATCATCACAGAGAAGGAGAGGAAATGAGGACTATGTAAACTGTGTCTCGAGGTTGTGGAGTTAGTTGCCTGATAATGAATATAGACAATAAATTGTGTCCAAAACGATGTCACCCAGTGTATGATACTGTTCTTTCACTGTGTGACATTTCTGATAGTGAAGCTTTCATCGTACTTCCAGACAACATTATCAGCACTAACTTCGGTATGAAGGACGATGAAAGCTTCACGATTGAACAACTCAGCTCAGAGAACACAATACAACCAAGACCATCCACCTGAGCTACAAATATTCTCCACTATTTCACATTTCTAATAAGCAGAATAAAATGGAATTACAGTCTATCACAGTGCCCAAGTTTTACTCATATATGTGTAGTAAAATATCCAAAGTAAATTGACGCTGTAAAGGCATCAAGTTTACAGTTCACTAAGATTATGAATGACAAAGTGCATTCTTGGATAATGAAAGAACTAAACTATGAAGACTTTTTAATTCCTATTTCATTTTTCAAATAATTATTTGAAGATTTGTGACTTTCACTTCAACAGTTTTACATAGTCTGCATTGGTAGATGAGCTTTCGTTCAACGGGAACGATTTTAAAAACTGAATTTAAAGTTTTTATTGCTTAGAAAAAGAGACAAAAGTTCATCAGAATACCAGTTTAGTGTTAAAAAAACTCTTTTTCAATTCATACTGTTGTGCAAAGAAACAGACACTTGTTCATTCCTTGCTCTGCTAACCAATAAGGAGTATTTCACACAGTCTATTTACATACTTGCTTCTCTCTTTTGTTCAGCTCCACTTGATCTCGAATAAAAAAATCTGATTAGGGACTGTCGCTCAATAATTCAGGGAGATGACTACCAACTATTATTTATACTGGGTGAGATTAAAATCTGGATCACGGCCAGATCTGGACCAGCGACCACCAGTTTACAGTCCCGGTGTTCTACCAACTGAGCTATGAGGTTTGACTACTGACCAGAATTTCGTTTCACCTTCAATCATCACCCAGTATAAATACTAGTCTACCAAACTACGTCTATCTCAGGTAGTCAAATGATTACCAACTGCTACTTAGCAGATTCGGACCCTGCTTAACTGAACAAGGTTTGGGTAGGTCAATAGTATCAGTAACCCTCACACAATAGGTATGGCTCATTGCCTACTACACGGATGTGCACAAGGTGGCCGAGTATGCGTCACTATGTCGTTCGTTCATTACATAACTAACACGTTGTCAAATACATCACTCAATGTTTACAATTAATCCAAGATATGACTATCAGGTGTACCTTGAGTCTGCTTAAGTAATGTCCCATTGAATAGTATTAGTTCAAACCTTATTGTGTTGAATCATTAAGTCATTAAAAACTGTATATTAGGTGAGTAGGAAAAAATATTTCACTCACATTTAACACTGTCTAAAATTTTTTGTTGTTCTGCTTCAATCCACTGTTGTCGTACTTCACGTTCTTTTTCAATACCTTCAGCATAACTACATTTTTAGAAAAGAAAAAAGTAGATAATTTTAGAATAAAAACATAGTCAACTTACAATGCTTCAGCGCATGCTCTATCCTTTGGAAACACTGGACGATCATCAAGATATGTGAGATTTTTCTAAAATAAAGGCAGAAAATAATTATTAGTTGTATTTCTTCAAAGCCACAGTAGATTAGAACAAAGTCTGACTTGTAATCTAATTAACTAAGGGTTTTTAAAAATATTATCTTTTGAAGTAAAGAAGATGCTAACTGAATAAAAGGCCATATTAGAACTTCTAAGAAAACATTTTGCTCTTGATTAATGAAGGATGAAACTCCAGGATTGGATTGAATTGCCAAACAGTTTAAGAATTAGAAACTATTACCCATGATATATTTCTCAGAATAAAATTACTAATACCGCTGACTTCGTAACAGTTTACTTTGAATCAGTTTTAAAAGTGTCATTTTTGCACTAAGCTGTAGTTCCTTTCACATTATCCACTAAAAAAATTAAGAAATATAAAATGGCATTGAGTGGTTAACAAGTGACCTTGAGTTCAACCAATCAACATGCAGTCAGTTAAATATTCAATGAATCTGATATGAATGTTTCAAATGTTTTACTTTGAAACGAAACTTTATCCTTGAAAAAAAATTTATCCAAATTACTGTCAAGTATCTCATTTGTATAGTAATTTTGCCGACTGAACATTAATTTCATTTCTGAAATTATTTCATCATCAATTCAACTGGTCAAATTAGTTGCACAGGTAATTAAGAGTCCAATAATTTACTCCATTTTCATCAGTATAATTTGATAACTGACAAAAAGTCATTTTCAACTCTGTATAACATATGTACGAATGAAGGTTTATCCTTGATTTTTTGGGTGCTTTAGCTTGTGAATCTCCGTCGTTGTTTGAACCAAATTGATCAACCACTGTTGATATATGAGCTCCGATGCGAATGCCTTGATGTTGCCTGTAGTTCCACTTTGGTAGTATTGATGGTTAGTGGCTGGAAATAGAATCCAGGACGCAGGTTTCTTCCCATTTAGGACTCATCAACTGGATGTAACTGCCTCCTAGTGAGTGAAGTTGTTTCCAGAACCAATCACTTCAAATGCTAGAGGGTTGTCGACCAGGTTACTGGGTCACTGTAGCCACTCTTTGTACGAGGAGCATAGTATAGTTTTGATGTTGCAGGCTATAAATGCCGTGACTCATTGAGCTAGTGACTAAAACACTGGGATTTGAAATGATTGGTTCTAGGTTTTAGTCTCAGTGGGAAGAATGTCAGCTAAAAGGAGGCAAGCATGCTCGGCTGATGAGTTCCAACTAGGACGAAAACCTTATCCTGGATCCCATAGGTTGCCACTATCTACCTTCAGCATCCATCCCAGGTTTGTTGCTGTGATACACTACCGTTAAATATTTGTCCTCAAACACTCCTTTACTGCTTAAATTATCTTTCATACACTAATTATGTAAATCTTACATGATTCTGTTTCATACCATAAAGATTCTCATCAAGGATTTATAACACTGCAAAAACAGTAATGAACTTACTACTTGATGTAAATCACTACATTCGAACTGAAATTTAAAGATTCATCATAGACTGACATCAGTTGGAGGAGCATTGGAAACCTGAGAGCACTGGATAGCTGTTTCGTCCTAGCACAGGGCTCCTCAGCAGTGCACACCCATGGCCAGTTCTCAGGGATCGAACCCACGACCTTCAGGTTCCGTGACCAGCACATTCCCATTCAACCACTGAGTCGTAGTCCAATCGTTCACACTTCCTACTTCTGTCAGTTCACTATATAGGTCACACTACTAGGACGAAACAGCTGTCCAGTGCTTCCAGGTTTTCAATGGATCTCCAACTGATATTAGTTTATAATGAATTCCAACCTGAAATCAATTATTGAACCTCCACAAATCTCCAGATGAGGTTTAAGACTCTAAAGTATTTTGTACACATATATACTTTCATTGACAATATAAATATACTTTCCGTAAATTGTTCTATGCAATAAAAGTTTAGAGACAGAATGCATATCTTTATGAATAAGCAACCAGCAATAGCATTTTCGTCGGTTTATCAGTAAATATCTATTCTCTAAATATGGTTTCTTGACATTCTCAGTTATCTACAACAATCAGGTGATAGTTAAAACATAATTTCATAAGATTCATTTAGCGTAGTGTGCCGAATTCCGATGAAGTTTTGAAAAGATGTAAGCACATGTCTGCTAGGTATGATTGAGACACTAATAATTCGGAAATGGAAACTGGAGTTGGGTGTTCAAACGAATGAAAGTTCTGGATTCAATCTACCTCCTTACTAAGCGATAGACATCGTAAATCCCTACATCTACTTAAGCAGAGACAACAGTGAACATGCCCACACGACTGTTGCAGAAAGTTTGGAAAGAAGGGAAAAAAGGACCTGCCAACCAGAAGTAGGGCTACATTGTCAAACTACCAAACAAGGGTGACCTCAGTCTGCAAGAACAAGAACTATGCCGCATCATCCTGCAGAAACTAAAACATTCTCTGCATTCTAAATTACGACCAGAATAGGCTGGCTACATGACTGAGTGGCTTCAGGAAAAACAAACCATGTGCGCATCAAATTACAACGCTACGCTGAGCATCATCATAGGTAGAAGAGAGAGAAGCATGCCAGTCAACTGGATATTTACCTCAACTTCATCGACTTTGAAAAGGTATTCGATCGAGGCGTCGACAGAGAAGTGATTTGTCAGGTGGCTGCTTCAAGACTACGGATCTAGTATCACAAACCTTTATCAACCTCATTCAACAGTCATATGCTATATGATGCTGCATGCCGAGTGATTCACAACACAATGGAAAGCTCGGTGATGTATTTGAAGTGAAGAGAGGAAGGAGTAAGACGAGGTTGCCACCTTCCACCACCGATGATCTTTGTGATTGTGTTCGACTGAACAGGATTGGACTGGACGGGATCATGCAAGAGACAACTGTGAGAAGATGGTCATACACTGGCTGGACCAATGAAAATACCCCCAGGAGAAGATTTTAATTTCGCCAGCGATGATGATTCATTTCCAATGTCTTGTCGCACAAACTCGAAGATATACAGGCGAAAAGTAACAAGTTAGCAGAAGAGGCAAGGTGGGGCAGCGGAGATGTGACTACCTTCAAGTGAACGTAGAGAAGACGGAGGTGATTCAGATACCCAACCAACAGCAATAGCATCAACAACAACAGCAACAACAACAAGAAGCCTGAATCACCAATGACGGGAGAAATCTGGAGGAAGTTGTCTCTTTCACCTACCTGCCTGCCTAGGCAGGATGGTTTCAATTACAGGTGGCACCAGCACAGATGAGGATGTCAAAGCCAACCAGGATCGGGAAGACAGCAAGACAGGCCTTCATCAATCTGAACTAATCAGTGTGGAGATCTACTGCACTACACCCAGCATAAAGCGTGAACAACATCCTGATTCTCAACACTAAGTGAGTCAAATAAGTCAGTGTTTCTATGTGGTGGTTGAGAGACTTGGTGCTTAACGAAGAGCATTTCCAACAAACCACAGACATATATGAACAGCTGCCGTCTACTCTCACTCGATACTGACACTGAAGATTGATGAGATGGTCAGAACGATGTGAATAAGCAACGAGGAGCTCTGTCTTACTGGCTGGCTATCTGGCTGACAGCCAACCAACCCAACGAATATTCAGAGGAAGAAGGTGTAGATGGATTGTATTTGACATAGCCTGCGAATACCGTTTGGGGACATCACGCTCCAGGCCACCCCCTTGACTGGAGTCTAAAGGGGAAACGATGAGTTAGGCCTCCGAGTCGGGTGCGATATGGAGGAGATCATGTGAGGAAGCGATTAAAGCTTGTGGGCAGTCGTAGAGCCAGGTTGAAAGAAAAGACTGGAGAGAACAGAATGCTATGGAGGTGTGCTACTGAAGCCCTATGTTCCACTATGAATCCAAAGGACAAATAATACTAACCGAACTCTTCTTGTCTCTTGAATTCAGGATTATTGGTTAACGAATATTCGAGGTTTGCACCATTAAATGTATACACTTATTAATTACTGAAATGTAATAGTTTAACTTCTGACAACAATCTCATGCAAAAGGATTCTTTCCGCTGAAGTTTATTACATTTTATGACTAACTGATAATGACCAAACTGCAGTGACGTTGGATTTATTTATGCATGCCTTCACAACTCACTAACGTCTTGAATTAAGCCGTAGTCATGTAGTTACGTATAGTGGGAGGTGTATTCATCGAAGAAGTCACATTATCTTTATTCATTTGATCACTGGTGGTATCTTAAGAAGACTAGAAAAGTACAATGAATATTTACATTGATTCGTCACGGGAGGGCAACCAACTACATGTTGTCTAGTTGTGAGTACAGATTGAACTCTGCCGATCATATTTGTTACATGGCCACTAAGCTAGAAGGTTTAGCATCACGGTGCACATTGGTGTGTGTTGGTTAGTTGGAAGCAGTCAGAATAAAGCCGTGAACCAAGGTTTTGCGCTTGCTGGCACTTATCAGCAAGACGTGTCTAGAACCTCGACGGAACTGATGTCCTGACTGAAGTTCGAACCCGCGACACCTAGTATTGTAGTATTCGGGGTGTGATCAAGCTTGATGGTGGTGCGGGTTTGAATTTCAAGCTGGACATCAGTTCTGTGAAGGTTGCAGATAAGCCTGGCTGACGAGTGCCAATAAGCACGAAACCTTGGTCCAGAGTTTCCTGCCGATTACCCCTAACCAACTAAAAATGAATATTTATTATTCTACCCCATCCACAATGGCAATGACACATCTACCTTTATTATCGGGTGGTGTGTTTACTGTACAACACTTTTTATATGTAACCACTGGACAGGTAACTCAATCATCGACAACATGAATGTGAATTATCTGAGTTGTTAACTTCACATCCTACGTAACGTAATATTCATCTATCTCACTGTTAATAAGGTACGCATGGTAAATATATGTAACTTTGAGCAAGTAGATTTCAAATATATCTATCGAGGGAAGTAAGACCAGGTTTCTTTTTACTCATTGGAATAACTCCCCAAGTCCATGAAAACAACATCTGAACTGTACTACAGGTAGGCAACGATTCACTTCACCAACAGCAACCACACCAAAGGACACATAAAAAAGTGCGGATGACTTTCAATTGAGCAGAAGTTGATCGAATTCTTCATCTTTCTTTTTTAATAATATACATTTTAATACCTTGCGGTACAGTTGAACACGATTATTTTTCATCTTCCAGGCAAACACACCTTCATTATTCACAACTTTTTGTAATTCTACCCTCTTTTTTTAAATTCAGCAACCTCAAGACTGGACATCAAAAAAGTGTATTAATCATACAATGAATTATCCACAATGGAAAGCTCACTGACGCCTTTGAAATGAAGATAGGAGTAAGACAGGCTGCTTTACAATCATCACCGATCATCTTCCTGACTGCGATGGAGTGGATCAAGCAAGAAACTGTGAGGAGGTGGACATACACTGGCTAGAATGATGAGAAAACCCCAGAAGAAGATTTGGATTTCACCGATCATTTATGCCTAATGTCGCACAAACTTGAAGATATGTTGGTGAAAACTGACAAGTTGGCGGAAGAGGCAGGATAGTGAAAACAGGATTTCAAGTGAATGTAGAGAAGACAGAGGTGATGAAGATACCCAAACAACAACAGCATCATCAACAAGCACCAATCACCATCAATAACGGGTAAACTTAAAGAAAGTAGTCTTTTTCACCTACCTACCTACCTAGGCAGGATCGTTTTAACTGCAGGCGGTGACACAGACGAAGATGTCAAAAGCAGGATCGGAAAAGCAAGATAGGCTTTCTCTAATCTGAAATCAATGTGGAGATCTAGTGCAATCAGCATAAAGAGTGAAGAAGATCCGGATTTTCAACACCAATGTCAAGTCCGTGCTGCTATATAGCTCAGAGACTTGGCGCGCCACGAAAAGCACTTCCACCAAACTACAGACATTCATCAACAACTGCCTACGCTGGCTTGTTACTGAAGATCAGATGGCCAGAATAATAAGAATAAGCAACAAGGAACTCACTCTGGCAACGAACCAACCAACAACCTATCACCCAACAAATACACAGAAGAAAGCGGAGATGGATTCGGTATACACTGAGAAGGCTGATTGGGGACATCATGCGTCAGGTTAGCCCGTCGAGTGGAATCCAAGTGGAAAACGGCAAGGGTGACATGGAGGAGGTGGTGTGAGGAAGAAATGAAAGCTTGTGGGCATTCATGGGGCCAGGTTGAAAAAGAAGACTTGAGAGAAGATAGTGAAATGTAGGCGTGATACTGAAGCCCAGGAACCCAAGGGAAAAATAATAACTAATGATAATAATTTAATGAAATGTCAACTATACTACTCGCAAGTGATGAATAAAAAGATTTTTAACTGAGGATGAGAATGAGGATGATTTTGTGTTCTCTGAGCTTTACAGCTCAGATAACATTAAACCACCATCATATTCACAATCGTTTTGATCATATTTAACACTTAAAGTACACTGAAAGTTTCGACATTATGCTAATCAAAAAATAGACTTACACACTGATTAATAATATTTTTCCGATAATTATTCACATCTCGAATAAATGTATTCCCTTGATTGTATAAAACTCTCTAAAATAGTTGATAGAAAAAATCAATAAGTCATACCTAAATTTTTTTAACAAGTAACACTTGTTGCAGACACCATTTGAAAATAGTCATTGTTACCTTGTTTACTATTATTATCTATTCCTGTGGATTCTTAGTGATACATAGGGCTTCAGTAGCACGTCTCCATTTTATTTTGTTTTCTGCAGTCTTTTGAACCTGATTCCATTGTTATACTTCAGTAAATTATTCTATAAATCTAAATCTTCTCCCTGTTCATTAAATCTCTCAGAAGATTCAAATGCATGAAATTCTTGAAAATACACCTCTCTATACAGCCAGCTAAGTTGCAGTGACTTTATGCTGTCAAGGCTCTATGCCAAGTGTTTACACACTGGTCACTTCCCACATTAGTTGTTATAATTTATCCAACTAGCTAAGCTTCCATCATCTTATATGAATCGATATTGTTTCATTTTAGTTACATAATTAATTCAAGGTAGTATTCACCACGTGATCACTTCATTTGGAGAACCATTGAAAACCTGCGGGCACTGGACGGTTGTTTCATCCTAGTATGGGACTCCTCAACAGTACCCACCCACGACCTGACTACGGATTGAATTCAGGACCTTCAGGTTTCATAACGAACAATTTAACCACTCAGCCACTAGGTCGGAGTTCACTGATTCACAGTCTTGGTTGTATTGTGTTCTCTCAACTGGGCTGTTTAATCCTGGAGCTTTCATCGCATATCCAGAAGACATCATCACCACTAACTTCAGTATGAAGTGACCTGTCAATAGCTCTCCGTCAGTGATTCAGTAGCTTGTCCTGACCAACTGGTTTGTGACTGGTTGTTTCCTTTGATTGTTGTATCATTGAGTGTATAGATTTTCCTGTTGGCTGTTCCTCTGGTTTAACCTCTTACGTTTCTATCGTTTATCATTTTTCATATTGGTTGATAGATTGGGTCCACGTCTATACATCTGTTGATTGCTGTCTTACCTGAATGCCAAGCTTTTAGGAATTCAAGTCAGTCAGGAATCAATCAGTAGATGTATAGACGTAGTTTCAATCTTCTAACCAATGTGTAAAATGATCAATGGCAGGAAGGTTAGAGGTTAGGCCAGATGAACAACCAACAGGAAAATCTATACACTCAATGACACAACAATCAAAGGAAACAACCAGTCACAAACCAGTTGGTCAGGACGAGCTACTAAATCACTCACTCATCGAGAAATTTTGACAGGTCACTTCATACTGAAGTTAGTGGTGATGACATCGCTGTCTACAAAGACTACGAAAGGATTAAACAGTCCAGCTCAGAGAAAACACAATGGAACCAAGACCATTCACCTGAGTTACAAATGTTCTCCACTATCTCAAGAGGTTCACAGTTTTCGACTCCTGTCAACTCGCGATATAGTGCGACTATCACTGGAGATTTTAGGTTGGCATCCGGTTCTCTTCTGACTGGTTGACCTTACAGTTCATAACTTTTCATCAAAACTTCGTGATATCCATTTAGAAGTATGTCATTAATGAGCACTTTAGAGTAATATATTTTTCTGATGAATAAGGATTTTGGGGTTGGACTGAAGTCTGTTAGGGAATTATTGGGACTCCTCAGCAGTACGCATCTAGGTAATGGGTGACTTCAACTAGATTAATTGTTCTCAATCTTATAGATGTCGTTTTCTTTGGGCGTTATATAGTCTCGTTGCTAGTAATAATTGACTATGATGATGTTTATTGACTTCCTAATTCTAAATTAGCTTACCATGGTAAATGTCAAGTGTATGCAGCTGATGAAAATTTGTGAAATAAAATGATATCATTCTATTATACAGATCTACTCCTTCTTGTTTCGTCCAAATTTATGAAGGAATCCAAATGTATGAAATAAAAAAGTCACATTAGTAGAATTTATTGTCAGTGTAGTTGTACTTGTAAGTCTTTAGTATTCATAATCGGATTTGTAGTTATTTGAAGTAAACCAGTGTCAACTTTGCTGGATAAGAGAAAAGTTTAGTGAATATCAACCTAATCTATCATTAGTATGACTGTAAAAGGGTTTTGGCACTAAGTAGTTTTTTTTTCAAGTTCCAGTTAATTTGAAAAGCAAAAACATTAAAATAACTTGTAATCCCCAAAATTCCAATGTAAACTTTAAAGTTATTAGTAGAATAAAACGAAAAAGCATTTACAATGAAATATAGAGAATTCATTTCATTTCATTAAAATATCATTGGCTGTTGATAAGGTAAAACATTTAACCGTGAAATCACAACCAGTTTCCATTATATTTCAATTAGATCATAACAGATCAGCTGGTTATTGATAATAAATAAGAATAAAAGCATGAACGATTCGCAAATGACCGATAAATCTCAAGATGTTCTTAGATAATTCTCAAAATTGAGTAGTTTTACAACTGCCCAACAAGATTTTCGTTAGAAACCACCAAGGGGGTAAGACCTACACACCACTCTGAATGCTTTTTAACTACTCAGGTTGTTCAGTAATGGTATATTTCGCTAGTTCATGACACTTTTTTGGCATAGATCAAACCTTGTGATACTGACCTTCAGAAACCTTGGTGATATCACAGCTTAGAAACTAAAAAACTATTCATTTGTAAAATATGTCAAAGTTGACTGTGCTATCTATAAATCTTTCGCAAAATGTTCTTCCTATTTAAGGTGTACGTGTCCATCTAAGTCAGCTAGCTAGAGCCCATTGATCTGAACAATTCAGTCTAATGAACTGAGTTTGTCGATGTACATCATCAACAAGTTTCGACCTAAATGAGCGAAACAACTAATACTGAGATCCTTGTAACCTGGCTTGCGAAATCTACAGATCAGTCTGAGTCCTTTATAACTTCTCATATCTTTCAATAGTATACTTCGTTAAGAGATCAAGAATTTTCAGAAAGATCAACAGTCAATTCACATGCTCTACTAAACCATCCAGATAAATACGAATAACTTTTGATATTTTCTCTTCCCTCAAAATGAACTTGCATGACGATTTTGTTCGTACTTGCAGTGTGATCTTTTTACTTTTAGATATTGTGCATTAATTAGAGAAAACAAATATCTTTTCCAAAATACCGTAAGGTGTCAGACTTCTGTTTACCAGATTTCATGATTCACAGCTGAGGATTCCCGAAGGAAGATGAAACAGTTCTTGATGAACCTGTGGGCGATACTAACCTACAGTGAAAACCCTCTTTCTAGTCATTCAGCTCCTCAAATATTCCCAAAATGACTACATGTTGATTAAAATAACCCACAAAAGCACAATGGAAGTATACTGAGAAATGGGTAGTTACTTTTTTATCACTGCTATATAATATTGGCTTGAAAAAATGGACGTGAAATCACCCGAAAAAGAATATTTTGAAGGGATAGCAGGTAGGAAACCATCAACAATGAGTAGTATCAGGAAATGGACCCTTTCAGGTATGCTAGTCCATCCTTAGGCATAGAAAGCATCAGTTAGTTTAAAAACAGTAGGATACTATCACCCCTTTTTTTGTATCTATCCAAGATGTTTGGTCAATCCATCTCCTTTTTCTCACACGAATATTACTGAAGTGATTTAATTCATAGCAAATATTCTTAAAATCTGTAATTGACTGTAGGAGGAAAAGCCCTAGGTACATTTGTATACCGTCACTAGTTTGGCTTAAAGACAGATTAAAAAAACTGCAGCAAAATCTGAACCCTTTCAAGCTTCATATTGTTAAAGTTTATCTAAATTCATAAATGGTGCCTTTTCTTAATTTAGGTAGGTAGACTGTGACGGTTAGGAAGTATAAGTCAAATGAAATAACATGCAACCCTTCTTCTCAGCCACATATAATATAAGCCTCCCCTACTCTTGAGATTCTGTTTGATAACCAGAAAAAATAAAATAAAATTCACTTCTTCCTTAAAGTACTGCCTGCAAAGACAAATCTATTCCAATTTCATTAAAAAGAACCAACATCGTCGTCAATATTTCTTTAATGATAATGCCTACTTTAAAATGATTAAGTAGTTAAACATTATAATCAAAACGTAAAGCATGAAATACTGTACCAAACTTACCAAATTCGGCATTTTGGCAAATACTTCTTCAACAATATTTGGATCCTTAATATGATTATGTTGTATATCCAAAACTGAAAGACTTTCACACCTAACCAAATGTATTAAATCTTCTACCTCAGACAATTTATTATGAGAAATAATCAGTCTTGTTAAATTTGGAAGCATATCTGTTTTGACAAAAGAAAAGTTAATTTTATTATAAAAATGTCCGTCAACCATGAAAATTGATGAACTGAACAACAGAATGTTGCATTATGGTGGATATCTTATTTTTCATGATCAGCAACAAACTATGAAGAGCGAGAAGTGGTGCATACTCTGGACCGATGAAAAGACCCCCAGAAGAAGATTTGGATCTTGCCCATGATAATCTATGTCTAATATTTCAAAAACTCAAAGACCTACAGGCTAAAACTAACAAGTTGGCAGAAGAGGGCGCAACGAAGACAGGTCTTTCTTTGGGTGAATGTACAGAAGACAGTGATGATGAAGATACCCAACCAACAACAACATGAACAACAAGCTACAATCACCATCAACGAGAGAAATCCAAAGGAGGTTGTCTCTCTCACCTACCTACATAGACAGCATCGTTTCAACTACAGTCGATGGCACAGGCATAGATGTGGATGCCAAAGCCAGCCAAGATCGGAAAGACAGCAAGACAGGCCTTCCTTCATCAATATGAAATCAGTGAGGAGATCTACTGCACTACGCATCAAATCAGTGCTTCTATGTTATGGTTGAGAGACTTGGCTCTTTATGAAAGGCATTTCCAACAAACCACAGACATACATCACATCGGCGGTTGCCATCCACGCTCACGCCATACTGACACTGAAGATCGATGAGATGGCCAGAATAAAAAGAATAAGTAACAAGGAACTGTGTCTGGCTGACAACGAACCAACCAACCAAGAACTGATCACCAAACAAATATGCAGAAGAAAGTGGAGATAAACTGGATTGGATTGGACATACACCTAGATGATGGTTTAGGAACATCACGCGTCAGGGTGGTCCACGCTAGGCAGTCGAGTGGAAACCTGCATGGGAAACAACAACTTGGGCGTCCAAGGCGAGGGTGGTATGTAGCGGAAAGTGTGAGGAAGAAATGAAGGCTCGTTGGCAGTCGTAGAGTCAGGTGTAAAAGTATGCCTAGAAGAGAGTGAAATGGAGACGTGCTACTGAAGCCCTGTGTTCCACTCGGAACCCAAGGAACAAATAATAATAATAATAATAGTTTTTTTCATGATCACTGTTAACTGACACGTTCATTGACATCTGACATGAATATGGACAATAAATTATGTCCGAAAGCTATCCAACAAATAATACTGCTTCACTGTATGAGGCATCTAATATACAGACTAAAGTAGGAACATAATCCACCATAGTGCCTAAGTTATACCCCAAATTCATTGCCATGATATTTGAACAATACAAGAACAAGACATTTGCAGAATGAAATGAGCTTGTTTTATTTCATGACCTTTCGCTAGCTGTAAACATCCTACAAATGAAGTGAGGTGTAAGTAGTTATAATTGCATGATACTTCAAATATGTAAAAATAAATGGAGATTTGAAATCCAGGATTAACAATAAGGTAGTGAGTAAGTCAGGGAAACACAGGAATAATAATTAAAAATCGCAGTTAAAAAACAATGGTAATTTATATCTGATGAAATAGAAAATTATGAAGCGGTGGAGTGAAGTGAACAATGAACGAAAATCGTTGTATAAGAAGAGACTGTTTAAGAGCCAATAGGTTACGTAATTACGTAAAAAACAGGAAAATCGTCAAGTGATTAACAGTCATTAAGTAATTAATGAAGAGACAATACAACCAAAAGAATAGGGAAGACTATATATATGCAAATCCAAGATTATGTACAGTTATCAGAGTAAGGAAGGGTTAATTACAGTCTCCTTCTGAGTATATTGACCAGGTTGAGAATTTTTGATAGCAAGAGATTCCACAAACCATAATAAACATGTCGTTCCTCGTTTGTTGATTATCCTGAGGGATTGAGAAACATCTACTTGATGCCCTGTTTCCATTAGGTGCCTAGAGATTGCGTGGATGAAGATCTTGCAACCATTCAGACACTCGGAATATGCTCATAAAATTGAGTATACACCCTTCTTTAAATCCATCCTATGTTGTTGCTTCCACGAGTACAGGTGAATTGAGATACACAGATGGAGTTCACGTGGGATGGGTATTTGTCTACTTTGAATTGTGTTATTGAGCATAATATATTGTAAACTGAAATCAGTCTGGCTGCAGGAAAGCTCTTCCTACTTACAGCTTTCATTCTTCTGTCTATTCCTTCAGTTGTAGATTGTTTGTAGCTAATGAAAGGCTATGAAATAAATTGAGTTCATTTTACCTTGCAAATTTCTTTGTTCTTCCATTGTTCCAATTTCTTAAGGGAGCTAAATGTATGGCATGATATTTGTTGACATTGAGATAAACAATGAAAGCAGAAAACCTAGGTGCCACAAATGAAAACTACCAGGATGAATTGGCTGTGTATTTCTGGAACGATGGGCAGAACACTTTGAGGAACAGTTAAACTGGCCTCCAGCAACCACTGCGTTGGCTGCTATCCAGTCGGATCCTGAATGGGACATAGAGACAGGCCCCCCAACACTAGGAGAAGTTGAGAAAGCGGTAGGTAACCTGAAAAGGGGAAGGGCAGCAGGACCAGACGGACTACCTGCTGAGGTATACAAGAATGGTGGTAGAGTGCTCTTAGTCAGGTTAGTGGAAGTGTTAGCTAATAAATGGGAATCAAATACGATCCTCTCTGACTGGTCTGAGTCACTCATCATCCCAGTCTTCAAGAAAGGCGAGAAGTCCTCTTGTGATAACCACAGAGGAATCAGCCTGACGAACATAGTATCCAAAATCCTAGGTTCTATAATTCTCCGACGCCTGAGTGGAACTCAGGAACTGCAAGCCCGAGAAAACCAAGCAGGATTTAGATCTGGCCGCGCGTGTATCGACCAATTACTCGCACTGATCCAGGTCCTGGAACATAGGCACGCTTACAGACGCCCAACAATAGCTGTATTTCTCGACTTGAAGGCGGCATTTGACTCCGTTGATCGAAAAGTCTTATGGCAATGTCTGTCACTGAAAGGCGTGCCTAGTAAGTACATCACCTTATTGAAAGCTCTCTACTCAAACACTTGTGGGCATGTTAGAGCCTATGGCGAGTTGTCCAGGGAGCTATACTCATCAAGTGGTGTCCATCAAGGATGCCCATTCCCTCCATTCTTATTCAGTTTTATCATAGATATCCTTATGGAAGTTTCCCTCTCGTCACCTAATTACACAGACGTTGACCCAATCATAGGTGAATTTTCTTTAGATCTACAATATGCAGATGACATAGTCCTGTTAGGTGAAGACGCTGACGACATGCAGTCTTCTGAACACTTTTAGTGGGAATTTGAGAATGTTTGGGATGCGATTTGCACCACCCAAATGTAAATTTTTGCTCCAGGACTGGTCTTCAGCGGTAACGCGGCTAACAATAGAGAGTGAAGTGGTTGAGTGTGTTGACCACTTCATTTACCTGGGAAGTAGGATCAACCCTGGTGAGTTAGTTGCCGATGAGATTTCTGCACGGATACAAAAGGCTCGATTGGCTTTTGCCAATTTGTGCCACCTATGGCGCCGCCGTGATATTCGTTTTGTATTAAGGGTCGCGTGTACTGCACAGCAGTCCGCTCTGTTCTACTGTATGGCTGTGAAACATGGCCATTGAAAGTGGAAGATATAAAAAGGCTTCAGGTGTTTGACCACCGTTGCCTTCGTAGTATAGGACGTATTCCGTGATGTCACCATGTGAGTAATGCAGAAGTTAGGTGTAGAGTTTTGGGAAGAAGAGGTAAGTCAGTTGACGAGGTTGTGAACCTTCATCGACTGAGATGGTTGGGACACGTACTACGTATGCCTACTCACCGGTTGCCTAGTCACACAATGTTGGCTGAGGTGGGTCCAGGCTGGAAAAAGGCCCGAGGTGGCCAGACTAAAACATGGCACCAATGTATGATGTCTCTGACTGTTGGTTTAAGCCATGTAGGACGATGAAGACTGGGTGGTTGGGGTCCACGGGACAAGAGTAACCAGTGGTTGGAGACCCTAGGTGATATGGCTCAGAACCGAAGTCAGTGTCACAGATGTATACACACATTATCCTCATCCTAACAACGCTATACCGAATCTCACCATTTTGTCACTCCTCTTTCCTTTCTTCTCCTACTTTATATTTCTTTTGACTGCATTCTCTTATCTTCATCCTACGCCTCACTACCTTTTTACTTGATGTGCTGATATGAGGTGTGGCAACTCGGACCGTTACGCAGTAATGCCTAGTCCTATGTTGATAATGATGATGATGATGATGGCTGTGGATTTGGAACTGTTGATAAGATTATCTTGATTTATTCATAATTTTCAAGCACTGTTACATCAAGTTGCCATTTTATAATATCAAAATAGTCACTTATTATCAATTAAGTGACACATAAAATCATACTTGTCTTGAGATCACGTGAAGCAGGATGATTTTCTTCTAATCACCACCGAATATTGGTAATTCGTACTTGCTGTTACCGTGTAAACATGCCCATTGCAGAGACTTTTTTCGGTTACCGAATGAAGCTCTACTAAGAGAGATAGACGGAATCAACTTAGAGCGTCACATATAAGTGCATCATTTCAAGTGCTACACTTCGCAGTATTATGCAAAGAACAGGTGGATAGAAAATCAGTGATATCAAAGTGGAGAAAGTTGTTCGATAGATAACGGTCAGTCTAAATATTTAAGCTTTAAAGATATCAAGGAGTGATATCATCTCCATCACTGTGACCGATTTGCAACCATGTTACCAAAAGTTGTCAATCACTGATTCCTTTCGTCTCAAGGACCCCCAACAAGGCAGTCTACATCGTCCCACACGACTCAAGCCAACAGTCAGGGACTTCATCGACGGGCGTCAAGTGTTAGCCTAATCACCCTGACCTCTCTTACAACCTAATCCAACTTCCCTTAGCATGGCACATCAAGGTAAGCAGTGTCTTAGCATGTGCAGTTCATATCCAAGCCATCTAAATCGATCCAGGTTCACCGCCTCAATAGTCGACTTCCTTGTCTTGTCACCTAGTATCCTTCGCTTTACCTCAACGTTCCTCAGATGTCTAAACTGCTTATTTATAGCTAAGTATGACAGAACGACAAAATTTACCAAAATGCATACCCTTTAATACACAATCAGTTAAAACAAGCAACTTACCAAGATTTTCAATTCTACTTATCAAATTATGGCTTATATCCAATGTGTCCAAATATTGCATATGATCTAAATTTCAATACGACGTATTAAATTCTTTGATAGATACAGTGAACGCATTTCAATTTGACTAGATAAACCATCAATTTTCAATATTCCATTCACTTCTAAAAATAAACATCTTAAACCAGTATATTCTTCAAGATTTTCAATTTTTGAAAAGCCTATAAAAGAAATAAACAAGAAAGTGAATGAGAAGGCTAAGTAAGTAAGCGTTGACCTCCAAAATCATTTCTTAGTAAAGGGAGAGGAAAAGTACTGCAATATAAATAGCAGTAAGTGTTATATATACCAAAACAATGGTGAACATAGACGTCAGATAAGAATAATATCGTTCATATTACTTTATTTGTCCATGAAGATATTTAACTTATGACTAATTTATTAAAAATTATTTTAGAACTCAGTTTTACAGCCTTTGACTGATCCCTTATTTATTCCTTTATGATTTATAGTTTTGAGATACTTGCCGGTTCAATCAAATCAGTTATCGTATATTACCTCATCTTTTGCGCATTAAATCTGAAATACTGGAGAATATTTGTAGCTCAGGAGGATGTATTGTGTTCTCTGAACTGGGCTGTTTAATCCTGGAGCTTTCATCGCATATCTAAACGACATCATCACCACTAACTTCAGTATGAAGTGACCTGTCAATATCTCTCCACCAGTGAGTGATTTAGTAGCTTGTCCTGACCAACTGGTTTGTGACTGGTTGTTTCCTTTGATTGTTGTGTCATTGACGGACCACAGAGATTTTCCTGTTGGCTGTTCCTCTGCTTCACCTCTCATCTTTCTGTCATTTATCATTTTTCGTATTGGTTGATAGATTGGGACTATGTCTATACATCTGCTGATTGCTAACTGACCTGAATGAACACTCAAGAACAGAAAACATCAAAAAGGGTGAAAAAATAAGAAAGATATCATTATACTTCCAGCAGACAAAGGAAGCACTTTGGTAGTCATAGACAAAGAAGACTATAACAGGAAAGCAGAGGAATTACTCAAAGACGAAAATGTATATCAACCACTTGAAACCAACCCTATCCAGAAGTTTGCTAACCAGATCAATAAACCTTGAATAAACTCTTCAAAGCAGAAGAAGAAGAAGAAGACAAATCGAATGAACCTGTCATTCCTCGGTTCTACGTCTGACCAAAAACACACAAACCAGACATCCCTATACGACCAACTGCCTCACTTCCAGGAACTCCAGCGTTCAAGAGAACGTTCAAGAGAGCTGAAACACCTCGTTCAATCGTGTAAACACTCTATCAAATCACCAACAGAATTCTTAGAAAAGATCAAAAGCAATGATGTAGAAAACGACGAATTAATGGTATCCTTCAATGTCACAGCACTATACACATCCACTGAACCTCAACTAGCCAAGTAAACTATATCCCACCTGCTCACTGAAGACACAAGCCTTTCAGAGCGCACAAAACTCACATGTTCAAGTCTGATGAAACTCACCGACCTTTGTCTGACAACATACTTGCTATTTAATGGCAAGATATACAAACAGATGAAAGGAACTCCAATCGGATCACCGAGATCTGCATTAATTTCAGAAGCAGTGATGCAGAGACTGAGAGCCATCATCCTACCCGTGATCAAACCAAAAATTTGGATTCGCTATGTGGATAACACTTTTGTCATCATTAAAAAAGATGATAGAGAGAACACCCATAGTTTCATCAACAACGTGTTCAATGACATCAAACTCACAATGGAGAAAGAGTCAAGCAACCAACTATCATTCCTGAATGTTCTAGTTAGAAAAAGAAATGCCGGAATGCTGGAAATCCAAGTATACAGGAAACCAACACACACTGATCAAATCCTCAACTACATTAGCAACAACCTAACAATCCACAAGATCAATTGCGTGCAGACTGTATTCCAAACAGCGAGAACACACTACATTACAACAACTTCATGGAGAAACGAAGAAAACTACTTGATGTCCATCCCAAAGAAGAATGGCTACCCACGAAACTTCATCAGAAGATGCCTGTCCCGTACATCATCAACTACGAAGTCATCGACAGAAATAAATAAACGCATCATCCTACCATGCATAAAGAATATATCAAAAAATCACAAGATTACAGAGACCACTTGGTGGAATTGGTGTGGCTCATAAACCAACAAATTCCCTCTAAACACGATTATGTAGACCGAAGGATGTGACAACCAAAGAAGACAAACCGAATATCATTTGCAAAAACAACTGCAATAACTGCTTTCAACACTATATTCGACAAAGTGATCGAACTCTTTGCCTTCGCCCACATGAACACCAATTGGCTGTTAAATATCACGACATTTCATCACTCATTTCAATGCATGTGGATAACAACTATGGACATGAATTCAATTTCGACAATGTAGAAATTTTGGACGGAGAGAGGAAATGCAAAGAATATCAGAGAATTTCTAGAAGCTTGGAATTCAGGTCAGTCAGCAATCATCAGATGTATAGACATAGTCCCAATCTATCAACCAATATGAAAGATGATAAACGACAGAAAGGTCAGAGGTTAAGCAGAGTGACAGCCAACAGGAAAATCTCTGTGGTCCGTCAATGACACAACAATCAAAGGAAACAACCAGTCACAAACCAGTTGGTCAGGACAAGCTACTAAATCACTCACTGGTGGAGAGATATTGACAGGTCACTTCATACTGAAGTTAGTGGTGATGATGTCGTTTAGATATGCGATGAAAGCTCCAGGATTAAACAGCCCAGTTCAGAGAACACAATACAACTAAGACTTTGTGCTCTGTTGTACGAGATCGGTAGGGTCTAATTGTCTAAGTGGCATGGCAACCATGCGGCAGATTAATCATGCACAAAACGCCAGCGTAGAAGTCAGTCGACATAAGATTACATGGTTCAATACAGTATTACTAGACATAGTAATGACTGTACGATCAGATGAATTCAACCTTTCAAATTATCACAATTCACAAACAAACACCAAAAAAATGTGGAAAACAACAAAAAGCCGAAGATAAGTGCAAAATAATGGAATAAATAAACAAAAAGTTACTGAATGGGACTTTTGGGATTGTAAAAATGATCTGAAATGACTGCACTCAAATCAGTATGATCATATAGACTTGAGGATCAAAACTTGGTCTTACATGGTTGAACACTGGGTAAATAGATTATTTCAGGTTGATATTCATCATGGACTAACATCAGTTGGAGGAACATTGAAAACCTGGGAGCACTGAACAACTGTTTCGTCCTAGAATAGTACTCCTCAGCAGTGCGCACCCAAGACCTAACTTGGACAGGGATCGAACCCAGGACCTTCAGGTTTCATAGTCAGTGGGTCATGAGCTGAAAGAAGCAGGAAATATGGACGATTGGATTCCGAACCAATGGCTCAATGGTAACGTGCTAACCATGGAACCTGAAGGTCCTGGGTTCGACCCCTGTCGGAGTGGGGTCATGGGTTCCCACTGCAGAGTCCAATACCAGAACAGAATAGCTTTCAAGGTTTACAATGTCTCTCCAAATGATATCAGTTCATGATGAATACCAACCTGGAATCGACACAATCCCCACAGCCTTCCAAACTGAAAATTTAGGCCACCGTATGATTATGGTGGAATCGGTTGAGTCCTAATCCACTTAACAGAAAGGAAGGCCTAGTTATCTAACCAACTTGAATAGGATATCCAATATAACACCTTGCACAAACTAATCATAAATAAAGTACAAAAAAAACGAATTCGTCATCTATAGAATTTTTCTCAGGACTTCACAACCATTCAAATATGCACACACTTTCACATTCTCACCTTGAATTCATGGGTCAGTAACTGATAGCGATGACTCTTATTCTCAGATTACTATCACATATGAATAAATTCGTCTTATTTGTCGTTATATCCTATTTAAACATGCAATAAATAATACTGGTTTTGTTCTCTAAAGAAGCGCCTTCCACAAGGTCATGAAAAACATCAAAAATTTATTTTTCAACCTCATAAGCATTTTACAAATATATTTCCTTTATAATCAGTATGATCAGTTTTGAACTGGATCAACTTCTGTCTCTAAATATTTATTTCTAGTGAAAGCATAATATAGTCAGAAAGGCAATATTTTCCCACATAATTTTTAACAAATTCTCAATGATTTCCTGAAGTTTCATCATTTCTTAGTTCAATCCTCCTTAATTTTTCTTTGGCTGGATCCTGCTTTAAATGATATTGAACACTGAACAGTGAACGCATATGTGGCGCTAATTTTGAACTTCTCTACAGTAGAAATACAAATTGTGTGTCAAATCTCTAACTATCGAGAAAGTGGCTTAAAGATAAATAACATTTTACTAACCGATAAGTCTTTATTTGTATCGTTCACTTTACAACCATTTTCAAAATAACATGCTAAAAAAGTATGGGACAAGTGAGTGAAAAAACTACAATTTGATATTCAAAAGTTATGAAAAGATTGTGGTATCGGAAAATTTATTTCCATATGAGTGATAGTGAATAGTATAATAAACTGTTCTTTGCTGACATCTCATAGGCACCAGTCAAGTAACCTACACCATACCAGCAAACAGAAATAACAACCAGGGATTTCATAAGTTTCTTTTTTTCCTTGGCTTGGCTTAGCTTATCTTCAGTACTAAATCATGGGATATGATTCAGAGTGCTGATGAATACATTTCAAATACATGAACAACCTTTTATGTTTACTGGCAATAATAACTAGGAAATATGTTGAGTGATATATATGAACAATTGGTATACCCTTTGGGTATCAACTGGTGATAACTAAGAAACTGAAACGATTGTTGAACACTTTGGTTCAGCAGTAGCAGCTGCTGCACTTTAAATCGCTTAAATAATTATATTCCTAAGGATATAGTAAGGTTTATTATTGTTAACTAGATTATCTCATTGGGTTTTATCTGTCATGCAAAGCTTAATGGATACAAATGATGATAAAAGGTCAAATTAAGTATGTGTTGCGAAATGGTTCGAGTTACTGTTTTCCCAACATATCCCCTTTACTGATAGTTGTAGCCTATTAAAGTCCTTATCAGGTGTCGATTTCACTTTACTTGTCGAAAGCTTTTGCTCGGTCGTCATATAAATGAGTGTTAAGTGATCATTCACTTATCAACATTGTTAAGCTAGTCGCCCAAGAACACCACGTAACTGACTTACTTTACCGTCATTACCATATTTTGATGAGTTTTGACTACCTAGATAAATCTCTGACGTACGCATAGGTCTATGGAGCGACTCTTAAGGTTAACCCAGCAGCTCCTTAGATGACCAACTAAGGTTTGTGTTCCAGAAAATAAATGAAATTATTTAGTCATTTCAGTAGTATGTTAGGGTGACCTTTAAAGTAACTCAGTTCATGTCATTTGAAGTCATGAATATCGCTTGTATATGTAGTGATATCCTAACTGATTATTGCTGCTCTATACCACTTTCATAAATACTGTAATCCTGTTAAGTATCATTTAAGTACAAGTGACAGTTTTCACGGATAGTGGCTTGTAGCAAAATCCAAGTGGCGCATTTATTCCTATTTGACATCCATCAGCTGAATATACCTGCCTCTAAGTGAGTTATGCTGTTCTTATTAAAACTCCTATCTAGGATTGATCGTTTCGAACGCCAGAGAGTTATTTACTAGACCACTTAGTCATGATATTCATTCCTTGTGCTACGGGCATATTTGTTATGTGATTGCCTGTAACTCCCCGTGGTTGACTGGACCGAATTGATCGGTTTCTATTGACATATCGACTCATGCACAGATGCCTTGATATTGCCTATAGTTTCAGTCAGATGGGTAATAGCTAGTAGTGGAATCCAGGAGATACGTTTCAAAATGAAACTACAGGCAATATCAAAGCATCCCACAAGTATAGGTATCTTAGTGTAAACATAAGTATCGGATTCTATGTTATTGAGTTTGTATGAACTGATTGGTGGAACTACTCTTTTGTGACTATCTGAACCGAGTATATTACCACTGCAATCCTTATCCTCCCCATGCGTGTAATTCTGAAGTACTAGTTCTACTAAATAAAATGTATGAATAGTTTTATCTCATAGTTGTATTTAGAAACATTGTAGAGATAAAATTCCCTTTCATTACATTCTGCTTGCACTAGAAAATAGTAATAAAAAGCCAAAATAATTAGCATTTCTTCTAACAAAATGTGTCTTTGATATTATGCAAGTGAAGATGAGAAGGCAGAAATTAAATACTTTTTTTTCTACAAAAGCCACTCATTACAACTGAAAATTGAAACGATCATGAAATCAACGGAAAATAGAAAAATAATTTTTGAGATGAATGAGAATTTTAGTATTCACCATGGACCATTGAAATCACGGGGAATCATTAAAAACCTGGGAGCACTTAACAACTGTTTCGTCCCAGTATAGAATTCCTCATCAGTACCCACCCATGACTAGGCTAGGGATCGAACTCAAGAATCTCAGTTTTCACAGCAAACGCGTTAACTATCCAGCCAATGGGTCGGGTTCAGTGGTGGCTGAAGGGTTAATATGTTTGTCATGAAACTTGAAGGACCTGAGTTCGATCTCTAGCCGCGTCATGGGTGAGTACTGCTGAGCAGGCTCATACTAGGATAAAAAAGGCTGTCTGGTGCTCCCAGGTTTCCAATGATTCTCAAAAGTAAATATTTGTTTTATTTTAAATTTAATAGAGATGCTGTGTTTGTGCATTAAACCTTAGTTTTGAAAATCATGATCTTAAAAATAGGTATATATCTTTACAATAATTAGTTCATAAGTGTTAGTTAATGTTCATTTCTGATTTTATAGACTCTCCTTGCACATTTTGAATTTACTTCCAATTGTTCATTGTTCAATGTATCAAAAAGTGATTATAATTAATTAATTAAAATACTTACCGTTATAATGAAGATATAAGATGTCATTTAATTGTGGTGTTTGATACAGTTTATGTTTTGCACAATGTTGTTTTAAAAACTTTTTTGTCATTCTGTAAGCAAAATTAGGAAGAAGGAAATAATTTAAAGATCCTCATAGATTATTCAGGACAAGAATAATCTAAGTGAACAACTGTTTTCAATAACTTCTTCTTCTTCAGGCTCTACAGTTATGTGAGTGAGATACAGTAGCCAAAATAGGGCATAATGAACATCTACTACTATATTGAAACAGTCAATGGTATGCGTGGTGAATAGAATGCTCCCAGGGAACTAATTACGTGAACCACGTGCACTGGTAAACATGTACCAGCTTGGCTAGGGAAATTAATGACAAAGTTCATCAACAGTGCAGTCTACTCACATCTAGTGGATACCTGATATCAGATGAAGGTAGTTCACGCCTTTTGTATGATACACCGTGTCCCTTGTAATCTTCCCAAAGGTGCACGACTATACATATTATCCATAGCCGAAGTCATAGGTATCAACGCATAAAAAACCGAACTTATGTGTTCAAAAGAAATATGTACATCCAGTTTGTTTATCTTGGTGCACAATAGGGTCGATACGTTCTTTATGAACTTTCCTACTACAAATTGCACATTCCTTTCTTCTATATTGTCATTACATTGATAAACATTCATATTTTTATGTTATTAGTTTTGTATCCTTGTTTACTCGTACCATTAGTACCTGTAGTCATTTTCAACCGTGACATAACAGTTCACATTTATTGTTCTCTATTTCGTTATAGTATTCACATGTTCTTCACCCTACTTGAATATAACTCATCACTACATAATTATTACTTGACCCTTGTTAAACAAACACACATTCATGCCCTAGTAAGTGTATAAATGAATCCTTATCTGTAGATCCTGTCTCCTCATTTTGTAATTGTTCTCTCAATAGTGATTTCATTGCACAAATAATACACTAGACTGATTACCATTCCACTATTCCATTCTATTTGACTCCCACTCACTACGCATAACATTGAGCGTTTCAATATAGTTATATATATATATATATATATATATATATATATATATATATATATATATATTTATACTTTCAAGAAGCAGCACACTGCTCATAATTAACTTCAGCGCTTATCAGCGTTTATGCATTTTAAGGGACTTGAGCATTTGTAGAACTCGATGTATGGCATATAACCTGAATACCTTAGTCTCTGCAGATTCATTACATCGAATTGATTATTCCTCTACCTGGTGCTTTATACATGTACATTCATACTGTCCACTTTTAAGTCTAATTCAACATCAGCAAAACTCTAAAATCACTGATAACCTGACAGTTTCCACATCTATCTCCTCTTCTACAGATTGTTCCCCACTGAATGATTTCCTATGCACTGTTAGACGATACTCCTCCGTAAATCATGTTATGCTTACTTCTTCAAAATGTCACACCATAAACTTTAGTTTCAACATGAACATTACCTAGTGTAAACAACTTAGTTCTCATGATTTCTGTTCTGTTGATAGTTGTACATTAGACAATGTAACAAATGTGATTTGTTTGGGTGTTTTTCTTCAGAAATTTCATGGTCCTCCCATATCTTACCACTTTCCTTATGAATTTTCTGCCTAACTTTCCATATTACGAAACTGAGAGTATCTGGTATAACTCAGCGTTCCCTCTTGTCTTTTATAAACTGAATCTTGCCCATTGTCCTCCAGTGTTCCTCTTTATTCTTTCTCAGGTTATTGAATAAAACTATACTATATTGTGTGGAACTTTGAAGATTGTCAGAAGGAAGTAATGGTGTACCTGTAAACCTTCTAGTTGGGACAGTTGTGAATAATCGTATTAACTCATGTAAACATCTACAGGAGTTATTTTATCAGATGAACCAGCATCCTCTTCACTCTAAACTCTCTACGTGTCGGTCATCTGGAAAGATGAGGAGTAAGTACATAAGACTTTATCCACCCACTACAAAATATAAAAACTCTACGATACCGTATTTAGCTCGTCTGCTGTATGATGAAAATGTATTAGAAATGAACTAACTAATCAACTTCTCTTCTTGATAGTGAACTAACTGAAGATGAGCGTGTTACATTTTACACATTATGAATGTAATTGCCAATGCGATTGTCTACCTAAATTGACTGTGCATTTTCAAGAAAATTGTAGATAGAGCGAATATTTTTTATCTTTTCTTCATGTAATTTCTACTTATTTCATTTAGTTATGTATACATATACACTGTCTCTATCCAGTTAATGCTATATGACATGGTGAAAATTCTGTAGAGTATTCTCAAAATATCTTCCAGAATAAAGCCAATATTATTATTATTATTAAACACTTAAAACGGAAAGCCTAAAACACTCTCATATCAGTAAGTGACTGACTCAAAATCTAGCCCAGAAGTGGATTAATTCAAGTTGTAGAAAAAAAACAGTAAGTAGGAAAGAATAGCCAATTCGTTAGTTAGTTGGAGGCAATCGGTAGGAAGCCCTAACCTAGGTTTCATGCTTTTTGGCACTCGTCAGCAAGACGTACCTGCAACCTCGACGGAACTAATGTCCCACCTGACATTCAAACCTGCGTCACCCAGTGTTGTAGTCAACGACTTTACTACTGAGCAGTTCGGGCGTGTTTGACCTCTTGCAGGACTGGCTTACATGATCAACAGGATTCGGTCTGCACTCAGGACAACATGAGATTGGTTGCACTCCTGTGACCAATCAATACATGAATAGCCAATTTATTCTGTTCTCCAAAAATAGGATCTCGTTCCCGATACCTGATTCTAGTGTAAACATTATTATATAACAGCAATGCAAATAAATTCATGAGGTAATTTTACTTCAGTGGAATATCCCAAGAATGAGTACTATTAATTGTTTCTTCATCCATAACCTTTGAATGCAAAAAAGTAATAGATACGTAGTTCTATTTTACCGAGGAATTAATATTTTCCTCTATCGTATAACATCAAGGTGTACCAAGAACCTTGAGCAAATAGTAGGTAACCATTTTTTCGATTATTTATTAATACTTGTAATTTCTAGCTATTATTCTGAACTGACTTGAAGGATCTATGTTAGCATATGAGTTCTCATGCGTTTGTGGCCTACCAGATAACGTTTTGGCACTTGAAGTGATGGATTTTGGGTTTGAGTCCGGTGAAAACAACACTTATTGAAGTGCAGATACGTACATCTAGTTGATGAGCCTCAAATTGGAGGAAACACATATCTTGGATCCCACTGATAGGTACTAACAAGCATATTATTTGTATATTGTTGAAAATTTCATTTACATTCTCTCTAGCCTAAACATCTGTGACATATGATGCTAAGAGATGGGCAACACTGTACGACTGTATTTTCTTTCATTACTCGTAGTATCATTATGATCATAAATTGTGGTGAAATGACTAGGTAGAAAATTCACGAACAAAAATATAAGTTTTCGAAGTTAATGATCACAAAATCTAGTTCGTGTGATTATATATCAGTGGCTACTAATGAAATCAATAATATCACTGTGGAATGTTCATCCATGAAACCGTAAAAGCTTGGTGAACAATGAAAAACAATAATGGATTCACTCTGTGACTAGATATTCACTAAACAAAATTTATTGTGTTACAGACTTAACAATTCAAATTGAGTTTGATATGACTAAATGAAACTGTATTATGTTTTCGTTTGTCATCCATTTAGCACGTAAAAAGTCTTGAGATTGTAAGCATAAAAATTCATCTTAGGCGTTCTTCTGATCAGCATAACTAACTGTTCACCAATCATACTTGTCATTAATGGCTTCTGAACTAAACACCACTAAATAGTTTGCTTGTATTCAACAGGAGAGTAATAATTGTCCGCCATCTAAATTACCATAATTTGACTAGCTAGCACTGGTGATGTAATGAACTATCATTACCATCAATATCCACGTAGACAAGACATCACTGCACAATGGTCTAAGTCGCTACATCTCCTATCAGCACATAAAGTAACAAAGTAACAAAAATGAAAGATGAATAAGGCAAGTAAAATCCATCAAAAGTGGTAAACAGTAGTAAAAGAGAAGAAAGAATGTGAAAATACTGAAATTCAGTATGATGATTAAGTAAGAGGAATGTTTGGATGACTCAGTACCATTGACATCAATTCTGAGCAGTGTCATCTACAGTCCCCAATTACTGGTTTCTGCTGTCAGATGGATCCCAACCAGGAAGCCTACATTTCCTTACGTGGATCAGACAGATAGTCAAGCATTTCATGCAATGATGTCACGGTTTATTCTCATCACTCCAATCCTTTTTCCAGCCTAAACCTATAACAGTTAACATTAGCAACGAGGTAGACGGCGACTAAGTATGCGTAATACATGTCTCAGTCACTTAAACCGATGAAGGTTCACAAATGTATCATCTGACGTGGTAACACTACGACACATGGCCTATGCTACGATGGCAACGGTAGACCAAGACTTGAAGTGCTCTTATTTCCTCTACCTTCAATAACCATATACATATATCTTATTACTTTCAGTAATAGTACCTTGGTTCTTTGGAATTTTCATCTTCAATTTCTTGTAATGCTTTGCAATGCTTAGCATAATTTTCATTGGAATCATTTTGTTTCATGATTGAATAACCAGGTGGATATGGTAAACTGGCCAAATCAATAGAGAATGGATCAAGAGATAGTGTTTTTAAATCATCGCCTAGCTTTTCTAAATCACCGACAGTTTCATCTAGAACAACGTTCTGATTATCATCGGGATGATTTGTTGAGTTGATATTATTTTCCAATTGTATATTTGTTGGCTCATCTATCAAAAAAATTAACATAAAATAAACATTTAGTGTAACCCATACGTTTATAACTGAAAGAATTAATGTTTGTTTATCTTATTAAAATGTTCAATGAACACTCAGTCGATTTATTGAATACTGAACAATGAAGGATTTCCAAGCTTATTTTACTTCTGTCTAATTAGGCCTTATTTCTCTTAAGGGTCATCCCGTATTCCCCTATGACTAAATGATTCGAAAACTTCTGTTCATTATAACTAACAATTTACTTACCCAACTAAGTTTCTTCATTGAAATTTATGTGTATATGAGTTTAAAAGAATGCAGCGACTGATCAGTGGTTTTAATCAGAACACCTGAAGTACTCGGAGTCTTCAGACTAATCATCACGTGATTAGTGACAATGAATGGAATTGTCAGGCGACGTGCTCGTCATGGAACTTAAAAACCCAGGGTTCAATCCTTGATGGAGTCATGGGTGCGCCCTACTTCGGTTTTCAACTGCTCCCCGACAGATATCAGTCCGTAATCAATACCAGCTGGAGATGAATAAGTCCCCATAAACTTCCAAGATTGAATTATTATGACTGATTGAAAAGAAGTTGAGATCTAAGTAACTCAACTTTTAGATATCAGATAAAATCACTTCATAAATTTCAAATAAGCGGATGCTACACATAATTCATCTGATCATAAAATAAATACCAAAATGAATAATAAAAATATCGTTAGTGTAGTAATGCTGGATAGTGACTAACAGTAAAATATAGGACGTGTGTTTCGTCCTGTTTGGGAACCGTCAGTGGGATGTACTTGCCTCCGTGTGAGTGATGTTGTTCCCAGCAGGATTTGAACCCAGGATAGTTTGTTTCAAACGTCAAAGTGTTTTACCTAATGAGCTACTGAGTGATGATAACGACTCACTCGTTGACTGATGTGCATAGTTTTGACGCTAATGTTTTTAATTTCATCATTATATACTTATCAGTGTATAATTTGAAAAGAGGAAATGTTTTATTTGAATAACTAAAATATCATATGATTATTGTATTTTTTTTAATTATTGTACCGTTTGCAGTAGATAAGTCAAAGTTGGTTATTGTACTAAGTGTGAAGTTTTGAGAGGATTGATTAGTTTCCAGGTTCTATTCATCATAACCTCGCCTGGTTAACTAGTACACTAGTTATTAGCCGGCCTTAAGCCCGGATAAAGAGTGAAGGTTGGGTATACGCCCTGGCAACCCTACCTCGTAAAGCTAATCCAATAGCTAAAAAAAACTTCAAAGCACAAAAAACTATTAAAAAAAACAAAGACAAACTTATTCCTCGCTGGAATTGGGGAGACAAAACGACGCCGGTTAGTGAAAGCCTTCAAGAAGCCGGTCGGTCAATGTATCTTCTCTCTTTCAAGGAAAGTGAAAGTAAGAATCGGAACATGGAATATCTGCACCATGTATGAACCTAGCAAGACTCCAGGATCAGGATCATGACAGCAAGACGAATTGAACTCAAAAGGAAGGAAAGTCACAATTATGCGATGCTATGCTGCACTACGCACCTACAAATAAGGCAGATCAAGAGTAGAAGGAAGAATTCTATAGACAACTGCAATCAGTACTGGACAAGACCCCACCCCAGTTGGCGGCATCAAAATTCTCATGGATGGGGTAACATGAATACCAAACTGGGAGCGAACAACACAGGAAGAGAACTCACCATGGGTCGAGTAGAACTCGGTGAAATGGTGAATGAGAATGCAGAACTGTTTGCAGATTTCTGAGCACTCAACGATCAGATGGCCAGGAAGAATATGCAACAAAGAACTCTGCGAACTAACTAACCAAGAACCTTTAACGCAAAAAATATGCAGATGAAAGTGGAGATGGATTGGGTATACACTGAGAAGGCTGATTGGGGACATCAGGCGCCAGGCCAGGCCCTCGACTTGAATCCAAAAGGGAAACGATGAGTTGGGCGTCCGAGGCGAGGGTGACATGAAGGAGATCATGTGAGGAAGAAGTGAAAGCTTGTGGCAGTCGTAGAGCGAGGTTCAAAGACTTCAGAGTAGAGAGTGAAATAGAGGCGTGCTACTGAAGCCCTATGTTCCACTAGGAACCCAAGGGAAAAATAATAATAATCATAAATTCATCATGGACTAATATCAATAAAAGAACTACTGAAAACCTGGAAGTATTTGCTAGGTGTTTCGTTGGATTATGAGACTCTTAAACAGCACAAAACCAAGATCATGTGATTAATTGAACCCCGATCTTACACCAAGAAGGTTACCACTTAGACACGTATGCCAAAAACCAGTCGTTAAAATCAGACTGAACTCATTTTCAGTCACTTCGATTATAACCTGCTTACTATGTGAATCTAGATAAAGAAATCAGTAACCACTTTGGTAATCACCTTTTGTCTAGGTGTCTCTTCATTAAATTTGCCAAGTATGTTTAAATGCTTAACTGATTGAGTAGATTTTCTATTTTAGATAGTTGTATGGCATACAGAACAGCGTATGATCTCACAGTAAAATTACATGAACGGAAGCTACCACATCTATCAACGACACGAAAGAATAAGATGATAATGAGTGTGGAAGAAAACGGTTACCTGCCTAAACACTATTATTATTATTATTATTATTATTATTATTATTATCATTTGTCCTTTTGGTTCCAAGTGAAACATAGGGCTTCAGTAGCACGTCGTCATTTCACTCTCTCCTATGAAGTCTTTTACACCTGGCTCCACGACTACCCACAAGCTTTCACTTCTTCTTCACACATTCCTCCCCGCCCCCGACGTCAACCTCTCCTCAGACGCCCAGCTCGTCGTTTCCCAAGCGGGTTCCACTCGACTCCCTGGCTTGACACCTGATGTCCCCAGACAGCCTTCGCAGTGTACATCCAGTGCAATTCAGTCCATCTCCACTCTCTTCTTCCATATATTTGTTGGGCGATGGGTTCTTGGTTGGTTGGTTGGTTCGTTGCCAGGTAGACAGCCAGAGTTCCTTCTTGCTTATTCTTATTATTCTCGCCATCTGATCTGATCTGCAGTGTCAGTACCGAGTGAGGGTAGGCGGCAGCTGTTCATGTATATATGCAGTTTGTTGGAAACGCCTTTCGTAACGCGCCAAGTCTCTCATCCACCACATGGAAGCACTGACTTACTTGACCGATTTAGTATTGAGAATCCGGATGTTGTTCACGCTTTATGCTGAGTGTAGTGCAGTAGATCTCCATACTGATTTCAGATTGATGAAAGAAGGCCTGTCTTACTATCTTTCCGATCCTGGCTGGCTTTGACATCCTCACCTGTGCCTGTGCCGCCGACTATAGTTGAGACGATAATGCCTACCTAGGTAGGTGGGGGAAAGAGACAACATCCTTTAGACTTCTCCCGTTCTTGGTGATTGGTGCTTGTTGTTGCTGGTTGGGTATCTTCATCACCTGTGTCTTCTTTATGTGCCGTCTTCGCTGCGCTGCCTTTTCAGGCAACTTGTTAGTTTTCACCATGTTAGGGGCAGGTACATTTTCAAAATGGAGAGTGATTAAGGGATTGTAAGTAAATCGATTCATCTTTTTTTAATCAGTTAAATTTGGGATCGTACGTATACAGATGAACTATATGATGGTGAACAAAAAGATAACGAATGAGATGGCAGGAGTGACCTTTAGTTCACTGGAGGCCAAGGGAGAAGTAACACTTGGACATGTTCTTTGTGAATGTTGAGTTCAGACTTGATCAGTCTTATTGCAAAATCCTCTTCTATGTTGAGCACTCGCTGGCGAGCTATACGTTGTGTCGTTTAAGGAACACGATGAATGACATGGAAAGCTTTATTAGCATTTGTATGATACCCTATGTCTACTAGGTGCGCTAGGACTGAACTTTTCCCCACTTTCACTTCGGCCTTTCCGAAGCAAGCTGGTAAATGCTCTGGTATCCGGAGACGCACCCGGCTAATCGTAAGACCTGCGTAAGTAGTTCCATGGGAACAGTTAAATTGATACATTATATAGGATATCTTTGAATTGAGTATTGGTTGACTACTGAATGATATGCAAAGCCAACCTGCATAAAACATCCTGTTGACTGTTCTAGCTAAGTGTTGTGATAGAATATCACTAGCAACAACTTTGAATTGTAAGCACAGAAACAAAGACTTCTTCCCCACTGTCATCAGTTCTCCTTTAAGACCAATATAGTTGATGTTAGCTTTGATGAACTTATCCAGATATCGGTTTTCACGTAGAATATCAAAGATACACAGTAGTTCTTTCAGCATACACTCCTTGGAACAAATCGATCTTACTCCAAAAGACAGTCATCTGATTATATTACCTTTGCACGTCATCGGTACGAAACTAAGAAAGTGCGTATACTGTGCCTTAGACGTTAGTTTCCTATATATACTTCTCAGTATGGAGCCATCTTCGTTTCTTATCATTAGTACATCAAGAAAATGTATTGAAACATTGATTTCATTTTCGTATGTAAAATGAACTGATGGACGAGCTCTGTTGAAATGGTTCAGAATAGAATTAATACATATACACTTATCAAAGTCTTAAAAATGTATCATTTGTCTATTGACGGTACAACTCCATATTAGCAATTTGATTTTTCAAAGGAGCATTTTCCAATTTTGCTAAAAATATATCTGTAAATATTGGATCCAATGAAGATTTCATAACCACTCTATCAACTTGTCTGTACAAATTACTGTTGAAGATGAACCGGACATTTATTGTAGATTTTACCAATAGTTCTTTCAAATTTATAATAGGTTATGTCAGTTTCTAATTTCCTTTCCAATAATTGTTCACAGATATAATCGACGATTCCCATTAGAAGGATGTTAGTAAAGAAAGATGTGACATCTAAGGACCCTATGCATTTGTTGTTTATTTTATCTACAAACTGGAAGGTGTCTTTCATATTATATTTTGCTAACTGGTCCCTCAAAGGTTGAAATAATCCTACTTAGCATTTAGAGAGAGAGAGAGAGAGAAACTTAAAGGAACTAGCATCCTTCACCTATCTAGGAAGCACTGTTTCAACTACAGGCTGCACAGACGAGGATGTCAGAATCGGAAAGGCAAGACAGGCGTTCATTAGCCTGAAACCAGTGTAGAGATCTTCTGAACTCAGCATGTGGAACAAGATACGGATTTTCAACACCAACGTCAAGTCAGTGCTTCTGTATGGTTCAGAGACTTGGCGCGTCACGAAAGGGATTTCCAACAAACTACAGACATTCATCAACAACTGCCTACGCTGGCTGGCTCGTTACTGAAGATCAGATGGCCAGAATAATAAGAATCAGCAACAAGGAACTTTAGCTGGCTGGCAACGAACCAATGAAGAACCCATCGCTCAACAAATATACAGAAGGAAGTGGAGATGGATTGGGCATACACTTAGAAAGCAGACTGGGGACATCACGCGTCAAACCAAGTCTTCGAGTGGAACACCGATGGGAAGCGACGAGTTGAGTGTCCGAGGGTGACATGGAGGAGATCGTGTGGGGAGGAAATGAGAGCTTGTGGGCTGACGTGGAGCCAGGTTCGGAAGATTTAAGAGAACAGAGGGCATTGGAGACGTGCTACTGAAGCCTTATGTTCCATTAGGAACCCAAGGGATGAATAATAAAATAATCATAATTTAGCGATGTTATGTTTTTAAAATGTTTACAAACTGTAACTTTTCAAGCCAATAATAAAACAGAGAAAAATGCTACACTGCTAAGATATTGACTTAAAAATACATAAAAATGCAACAGATTACTATTCCTGAGACATCTATGTCGAATTGCAGATTTTTCTACTGGTTGAATAAACTACCGACCGCCAAAATTATCCTCTGTATTGTTTCTATTCATTCACCAGTTAAGACCAGAAGCTATTCTCAAGTAATTATTGAATTTAGAAATATTGTACAATTAATCAGTTCGTTGAAATATTAAATCTTGATAATTCAACAATGTATAAGAAATGTTGTCTGGAATAAAATGATTATGATGATTAATTATCAATAAAAAAGGGAAGAAGGAGAGGGAGAGAGGGAGAAGAAGAGAAAGAAAGTTAAATAAAAATTGACAGAATACTTAATATCCCTGCGAAGAATGCAATTATCCAATAAAATAAAACTGATAGTCTTTTCATTGTTAACTACCTGAGACAGTTGTGATTTAGTAGACTAGTATTGATACTGGGTGATAATTGAAGATGAAATGAAAATATGTACCGTGATTGGACTCGAACCAGTAACTAATAAGTTACTCGCCTGATGCTCTACCAAATGAGCTACAACATCATCAGTTCTTCTAAACGATGGAAAATACAACTATGACCTTTTCATACATACTATTATTATTATTCACTAATACTTATTCCTATTATCAAAGTTGACTTGGTGAGAAAGTAAGATAACTGTTTGAGTTATACTGCAATAGATGGTTCAACTAAAATTCATTCTATTAGAATACTATTATCATTCTCAAGATCTTTTCATATATAGTTCAACTGTTATCTACCTAATTATGGATATAAATCAATAGAAAAACTTTCTTTGTAGTAAATAGGAAGAAAAAGAAATCATTAAACATACCAGACAAAGCAGAGATGCCTTCATCAATTGAATGACTGATCAGCTGATCTGTATAATCATGTAAACTATTTCTATCCTCTCTGTCAATCCCAGTACAACAGACAGGTGATAAGATTTCTACCTCCATACTAATTTATGCATGTATATATAAACTTTGTGATGCTATCAGTTTATACATAAATGGCAACAATATCAATAAAGGATAATCTGGTTATTTTATCTAAAAGAAAAAGACGAGATTAGTTATCAAATCTTTTCAGTATTTATCTACATGATATGTATAAGAAATTAATGACATCGACTGATATTAGATTGAGAAATATTTGAACCACATAGACATTAAAACAGCTATTTCGTCGGAATTTCGAACTCATCAACAGCGTATACTTGTATCTTAACATAAGTTCCGTAAAGAGGAATGGATACTACAAACTGATAAAAAAGACTGTGGTTTAGAAATAAATAAAAGTCATGAAGTAAAAATAAGTTCAGCTTTTTCCCGAGAACTTGTTTTTTTAGTTATGTTGCTGAGTTCACTGTTTAGTTTCTTTCAAGATAATATCTTAAACAAGAACCATTTTGTAAACATTTAGTTGCTAGTAATAATGACTGGTACTGGTTAACATTGGGATCCAATGCGTGCGTTTCGTCCTATTTCAGACTCGTCAAATGCATGTATCTGCTTCCCAGTGAATGATGTTGTCTCCAATTGCATAAAGCTGTAGCGATTCAGTAGCCTAGCGGATAACGCTTTAGAATTCTAAGTGATCAGCCCTGAGTTCAAATCTTCTTGGGAATAAAATCGCTCACTAGAGTGAAGTTACATTCAGCTAATGAGATGCAAATTGAAAGAAACGCGCATCTCGGATTCCACTGCCAGCTAATATCAATCATTTCCACTAAAATGAAACTAAAATCAATATCAAGGCAGGAGTCCATGTGTTAACAAAGATCGACCACGGACTGATATCATTTGGAGGAACATTGGAAACCTGGGTGTAATGGACAGCTGTTTAGTCCTAGTATATGTCTACCCAGCAGTGCGCACCCATGGACCCTCCTCAGGGATCAAACGCGGGACCTTCAGGTTCCGTGGTCATCACGTTACCACTGAGCCACTGAGCTCGGAATCCAATAGTCTTATTTTCTACTTCTATCAGTTCACCACATATCACTCGTTGGAGACTAGCTTCGAGAGATGATTCCTGAAGTTCCAATGAGAAGTCGTGACCAATGGGGCAAACCTGAAGAATTTAAGGACAAATACTCAACGATGACATTGGGTGATGGTTACGCTATGTCGTGCGCTGACAGAGGCAGGAAATATTGACCTCTGGATTCCGACCCAGTGGTTTAATGGTAACGTAGAACCTGAAGACCCTGAGTCCAACCCCTGGGGGTTATGGGTGCCCACTACTGAGGAGTCACATACTAGGACGAAACGGCTGTCGAGTGCTCCCAGGTTTCCAATGTTCCTCCAAACGATGTCACTCCATGATGAATACCATTTAAAATGTGAAATCGGACACTGACTGCGGTTTGCAACAGTAAGTAGGATTTTTCTTATGGCCTTAATATTTGCTTTATAGATTGAAATTGAACGTATATCGCATTAGACATAGTCGAAAGTATGTAAGTCCACGTATATAGGCATCCTTAAAGGTGATATGTAGAAAATTTCTAGTGAAACATTGAAGACTTGGTTCTGTGGAATATCAAAATCTATAGGATAATAATATTGCACATTAGCAGGTCTCGCTCCCTTCTATTGAAAGAAAACGTCCTCTTGACCTTCATTAAGAAGAAAGACCTTGAAATTATTCTCGGTAACGGACTAGAAAATATACCCTAATTTTTCATTAGTGGTGAACTTTACTTACAATATCCTTACGTTGCGTCTTGAACTGTAATGGCTCGCCTCTAAAGTTATTTATGATATAGACCGTCTACTAGTTTAACTGCTTCTGAATATGCCGTTACTGGCATATGAATCAATAAGCTACTCACCACGTCCCTCCAACCTAGTCATCATGGCTTAGTAAAAGGGAAACAAAACCAACAACAACCATTATTCGGCATCTAGTTGGCAATGAACATCAAATGTGCATAAACAAGTATTTCAAAGTCACTTATCATGTTGCTTGTAATTATGTCTATGCTCAAGGAGTATGTTTTCCCCATAAATATAAAGCTATTGGGATCTGTTTGAACAAGTGGAACTTGTGTGCTTCTGAATAAGTTTACACAAACACCCTATGTTTAGCCTGATGGCACACATAACATTTTTCTACATTTACAAGTTACGCGAATGACCTCTCAACTATTTATCTTGTAATTTTCTTCTTCCTTGATTCTTATTATTCTTGTTTTATCTGTGACAAGGATTGACTATCTAAAGTTATTATTCATTCTTCTAGCTGATCACCAGTATTATACAACTTGTCAATTAAGTAACGGCCCACCCTGACTTTTGTAACTTGCCTCTGAACAATCATTCCGTTTTTTATTTACAACTTAATTTAACTAACTAAATAACCAACTGTCTGAGTATTTCAACATTTATCCTCCGATTGTTTCCATGCATTTATTATCGAAGGAATCCATTTGAAAGTGCGGTGGAACTAACTGAAAAACTTGTTGATTTTTAACTAGAAAAACCAATAGCTTGCGCACACAAGTACATCTGAATACTAAGGCGCTAGTTAAAATCTCGTATTTCAAATACACCTATCCATTCCTTGCAGAAATTGCAGGCAACCAAGTGTCGAAGACATCTTGACATGTATTTAGGTTGGGGTAGAAATAAACAAATGCTATACTCCTTTAATGGTAACGATAGGCGGTTAGGCTGAGAAAATCTAGAAAGAATACATCGCTACACCATACACCTTCTACCAGGATCCAGTTATTCTCATGTTGCTGGTCACAAATATTAGATACTAACCCTTTCGCTGCATAACAGTAGTGAACAGTAACGTAGACATTATCACTCAATACGAGCTTTAATCAGACAACTGTGATTAAGCCTCGAAACATCAGTTAGTGAGTCACATAAATGGTAAAATTATATAGAATATCAAATGCTGAGCACAAACGAAGCTGAACAAACGTGCAAATAATCGGTAAGTTTTTGCTGTCTACAGAGAGCACTTAAAACTAGATTTAAATCCCGGTATAGACCAATGATAATGTTGGGATCAGTGTCAAGCAGCATCGAACAGCATGCAGTGTTTGTTTAGGTCTATATAGTTGAAAACAAAGCCATAGGAATAAATTAAGCTAAAGTAGTAACTCAATCCAGAAACTGTTCTCAATTTGCGGTCCACCAAGTGTAAGGTTTCATCATTGAATCATTCAACACGTCTTTAAGATTGGCGCTTCATATGAGGTCAATTTTGACCCTCCTAACTATGGGTGAGTGGCTGTTATTAGTCAGAGAACCTACATGCAACTGAACCAGTCGAGACTCCAAAGACTGTGAGGATGCTACTAGCAGTCAGTTCTACAAAAATGAGCTTGGCCATTCAGTCTCAAACTGCCGCCCGGTTAATCTGGTCAGCAGAGTCATTCAGCTACTGGAAAAGATAATGCGTTGCGTAACTCAACGATACTCAAGATTATTAATGAACGCCAATACTCTAAGAGTATTTACGGCTCCCTGACGAAAGTTTGCAATCCAAAAGAAAAGTGTGCAGCATCCACTGATGCAAATGGAATTGTGATTGTGTGGTTTATTGACTTTAGTCAGATAGTTGTCGATATTTATCACTTAGACCTCCACGAAAAACCGAAGCCTTTCGGGACTGGTGAGAAGGTGAGTGACTACATTAGGAACTTCCTAGTGATAGCTTACAAGAATTTAAAGTTAACACCATACCGTCATCGAGGCAATTAGTTAACATTAATTTCCTATTCTGCCTTGTTCTCTTCCTACTCTTCGTCAGCAGACGACTAGTCTAGTCATGCGTTTATGTTGTGACGATCCATATGATTACATCAATAATGTAATGCCACTGCGCAGGGTTTCTGATCATAAAACTAAGCAGCCATTGTGAGCCACAACCTAAGAATTACAGTTAACTTTTAATCATTAGCCCCATAAGCTTCTCGAGCCTTAAGATCTTTGTGAAACATTTTGCTGTTTTGGTAAGAGTAAGTTTAAGATATTATGTGTGACAGATGTCAGATCTCTCAGAAGTTATAAGGTTCAAGCAGCAACTCTGTTTACAATGTGACACAAACATGTAAGAATGTTTTCAATGTGTAGGTACTAAGATGGTCAACGACTTTCCTGACCCTCCCTAGGAAGATTGTTTTGAATTATTTCGACTACCTCAACGTGTAGTGAAAGAGACCACATGGCAACCTATAGTAGCCTAAGAAGTTATTTAAGAGCTAGTCTATATTATTTATTCCTCCCTTCCAGAAGTGACTACCTGAGATGACATCACTGAAAAGCTCTGAAATATCGGTTAAATTACCTGAACCTGAAAATCAGCTTCTACCAAGAAAGTGTGAAACAGTGAAATCCGTGAGTGAACACCTTCAAAGTAAGACTGAATCTTCACGGTACTCAATATTGCAAGGAAAATTATGGGTCACTTGGACAGCTGTCCTTTATTATATAAATGCAAAGGACAAGATGTTGACAGATCTTCTATTGATTTCACACCTCTTACAATAATAAAGACTGTTATGGCAATGACTTACCACGAGCGTGATGAATTATGAGCAAATTTGGAGCCTAGGAACAGTGTAGGGTTTCATACCAATAAGCCGAAAGTTTTATGTAGTCATAGACAGTAGTGTGCAAATTCAACTCAGGGCAAGCGTATGGGATTACTGGAACATCTAAACACTGTCATTTCCGACATTAAATTGTGGAGCAAGCCCTTTAACTTCCACAAAAATCTATTAAGTACCACATAACATAAATTAACAAATACTTGAAGTATATATGGAAGATATTTCGAATAAAAAGAGACCGTAATAACCTTAAAGCTCCAACAGTATTTACTATCTAATATCATGCAGGCTATTCTAATATGCAGTTATATTCGACCACAATACCAAAGTCCTCTTCTTTCAGTTAGGCTTTACGTTACTAGCATCACAAATGAGAACCCT